TTTTGGCAAAGAATTTGCCCCTTGTTTCATTGAAATGATTCATAGGAGATTTGTAGAGAATCTAATTGGCTTCAATAGATGTTAATCAGTGTACAAATCACTGGTTAATATATGTCAATACCAGGTAAATACCTCAATAAATACTATGTCAATAGTGTCAATACTGTGCAATACCTACTTGTTAATTAATTATGTAGGTAATATATGTCAATATTTGTAGATATCTATTGGTTGATACCCATTAATAACATGTAAATACCTGTGAATATGTCAATACCTAGAATTCTGGCAAGAGAAATATTTGATTTTAGTCTGTCAATAGCATGGCAATACCTGGTAATACCTAAAACTCATTAAGATAAACATGCAGAAGGGCAATCAAATTGTAAATATTTTAGCTACATATACTTAGATGTTTTGCAATAACCAAAGAGAATTTTATAAATAGTTTACATAATATTTTGCAAAGAATAACATATGAGCAACAACATGTATATATTTTCACAGGTGATATTAACATTAATCTCTTAGATAGGGAAGGGTGTGCGACAAATGATTATTTAACAATGATGTTAAGCCATGGGTATGTGAGTATGACCGACAAGAAAGGCTGAAGACTCGAGATCTTGTCTCAATCATTTCTTTATAAAAGTTAAAAATAGGAATGTACAAGGCATGAATGCACTGGTATTGGAGAGAGATTTTACTGACCATGATCCAATCTTGCTCAATATTAGATTAGACAAGTATTCAGAAGATAGGAATAATAATAGATTTTTCAAAATAGTGAATCATGATAAACTGAAAATTTTAATGAATAGAGCAACATGGGATGATGTGTTGAACGCCTCGGATGCAAATCAATGTACAAATATTTTCGTAAAAAGAGTGAATGAAAGTGTGACCAGAACTGTCAGGGTAACTTAATAGTGAAAAAAAAATTGAAACCTTGTTGGTTTACTGGTATCTATTAGAAATAGGGATCGTTCGAAAAAAGACGTTGCAAGAAGCAATAACAATACTGCAATTTTAAACATATATAGAGCTTATAGAGATAAGCTATCAAAACTATTTAAGAAAGCTAAGTATATACATTATAAAAAATTGACACAAAAAAACTCAGGTGATTCAAAGAAAGTCTGGAAAATTATGAAAGAAGCCACAAACGACCAGGTTTCCAAGTTGGAAATAAAGAGTATTAACTGCAATGGGAATGTAATAACAAATGGGAACCAAATTGCCAATGAATTTAATGGGTATTTCACAAATATCGGATAAAAATTGGCTGACAAAATTCTGGCAGGGAAAGCAAGGAGGGTGAGAGAGGAAGAACATAGGGCAGTGGGTTCTTTTCTACTCGATCCAGTTTCGGAATTAGAATTAGTGAGCCAGATACAGAGTTTAAATAATGGGGTTAAAGAGGCATTTATTCGAATATATTTAAAGAGTACAAGGACAATTTGGTGATTCCACTGATGCATATTATCAATGTTATTTTTATGTCAGGAGTTTTCCCTGAGGTTTTGAAAAGTGCAATAACTATTCCTTTGCATAAGCAAGGAGACAGAAAAGCAATGAATAACTATAGGCCAATTACATTAACGAGTACTGTCAGCAAGATCATTGAAAAATGCTTCAGAAATAAACTATTGTTTTTTCTTGAGAAAAAATAATTTGTTGCACAAAATCAATTTGCTTTCAGGGAGAACTCGAGCACAGAGAATGCATTATGTGGACTTAAAGAAACAATATTAAAACATTTAGATCAGGGTAAAAGGGTTATAGGGGTATTTTTGGATTTACAGAAAGCATTTGATACTGTGGCACATCAAATTTTACTTGAAAGGCTGGAAAAAATGAGGGTAAGAGGTATCCCTAATGATCTAATTAGATCATATCTGCAAAGGCATCAAAGTACGCAAGTTCTAGGGGAGGAAAGTGAGAAGCTGAAGGTGGAATTTGGTGTGCCACAGGGAACAGTGCTCTCTACACTGCTGTTTAATGTTTGTATAAATGGGATATTATCTATTGCCAGTGAAAGTGGGGAAGTTTTTTGCTTTGCTGACGATGCAGGGGTAGTTGTCAGTGGAGATGGTTGGGATAGAGTTAGAGAGAAAGCTGAACTTGTGCTGTCAAAAAAAAAAAGAATGGTTGGCCTATGGCTTGTTATCGTTGAATGTAGAGAAAACTAAATTTCTTTCCGTGCATTTATTGCCAGATTTCCAAAGTATTAAACTTCATGATACTAGATGTGATTTAACTGGCCGATGTAATTGTAATATGTTTATTGAAAGGAAGGGAAGTATTAAATATCTAGGAATATACATTGATGAAAATTTTAATTTATTTTGCATTGGTGGAGTCAATAATTACCTATAGACTGGTGATCTGGGGTGGCGCAGGATCAACAATTATGAAAAAACTTGAAATTGCACAAAAATGGATAATTAATATCATGTTGTTTAAAAAGAAAAGGTATTCAACAGAATTAACTTATAGGGAAAGTGGAATCTTAAGCCCAAATCAACTTCACATAAAATCCTTAGTCAGAGTTATGATAAAAAAATACCAAACTATAGAGAAGAAATATCTCATAATTTGGGAACTAGAAGTGCAGCTAAGAATAATTTTTGGTGCTGCAAAACCCCAGGCATAATGTATGTCAGAATCATATTTATTATGTGGGTCCAAAGATATATAATAGTCTACCAATGCGGCTGAGAGCAAGACCATATAATAGGATTAAAAAGGAAATTAGGGACTGGATTCTGGAGAGTTATATTAGTATTAATTTTGGTTATTTGAAAAAGGGATAAATTAAAGGTGATAGGATTTATTCTTTTGTTTTGAATTATATATATTTTTTTTTTGTGGATTATAGAATATAGACTTTTGAAATCGATTTTGCATGATTATTTCATATACAATTGAATATGTACAGGGTGTCCGAATTTGGATGGTTTTAATAGGAAACGTCAATTTCTGAGCGAGATGCAAAAAAATGAACCCCCCACTCCGAGGCTCAAATTTCTTGAAATTTTGATTGGTGCAAACCGCATTTTGATATCTTGAACGGTTTAGCCGCTAGAGGGCGATTCTCGATTTTGAGCAATAATGTGAAACCATCATAACTTTTTTGTTTATGAAAATTATTGATTTCCGTAAAAGCTTTCTAGAAGCACTTTTTAGAGCAGAATTCAGTGACGTTCTCAGTTTTTTTCTAGTTGGTCCCAACTCCGAGATATTGACCAAAGTCTGGTTTTTTTCAATTAGGACACTCTATATATTAATAGCTCATTAGATAGCTCGGCTTTTTCTGATTTCGAGAGGTTTATCTCTAATAGTTTTCGAGAAAAAAAATTATTTCGGTTTTTGTCATAAGAAGCAATGTATAAGAAAAGGACTATATATCTGTAAGGAAACTGAGAAAGGTCTCTTTCTAACTCATTGTTTGTTATGACAAAAGCCGAAATATTTTTTTTCACGAAAACTGTTAGAGATAAACCTATCGAAATTTGTATCATTGAAATCAGCAAAAGCAGAGCTTTCTAATGAACTATTAATATATAGGGTGTCCCATTGAAAAAAATCGCATTTTGGTCAATATCTTGAAATCGAGGCCGAATAGAAAAAAACTGAAAACGTCACTGAATTCTGCTTGAAAAAGTGCTTCGAGGAAGTTTTTACGGAAATCAGTTATTTTCATAAACAAAAAAGTTATGAAGATTCCACAGTATTGCTCAAAATCGAGAATCGCCCTCTAGCGGCAAAACGGTTGAAGATATCAAAATGCGGTTGGCACCAATCAAAATCTCAAGAAACTCGAGCCTCGGAGTGGGGGGTTCATTTTTTTGTATCTAGCTCAGAAATTGATGTTTCCTATTAAAACCATCCATATTCGGACACCCTGTACATATACCTTGAATACGGAATATATTGTAGTAGTAATGTAAGGGGTGCACACACAGTATTTTGAATACCATTGTGCACCTGAGACATTGGCAATTAGTATTAGTATTAATATTAGTATTGATTAGTATGTATGTAAGTATTGAGAAAAAAAGAAAGGAAAGAATATAAATGTATTTTTTGCTAATGAATAAATAAATAAATAAATATGTGATAATACTAGGGAAATATCTGGCAATATGTGGAAATATTTTGTTAATATATGGCAATAACTTGTTATTAGGTACTATCGTCACCAAAAGTATCTGGGACACAAATAATGCATAATAATCTCCTGGTCTAATTCTACTGTCATTCATTTCAATGCATTTGACAAATATTTGACAATAAAATTCATGTAATAGGACAAGAGCTAGTGTGATGCTGTCCCAGTTACTTTTGGTGACGATGGTACATAGAAATATCTGTTAATACACGGAAATATCTCAGTTAGTACTGTTAATCGGTGTATAAATTTTGTTAAATGAAAAACCCCTTGCTAATTACATTACGATCAGATTGAAATTACCAAATTTGTGAGACAAAATGTGTGTTGGTGTCATTTTGAGGCTTTGGAGCTGCAAAACCATTGAAGTTGCATTGAAATCATCCATAGGAGATTTGTAGAGAATTTAATTGGCTTCAATTGAAGCTTAATTACATTAAGATCGGATTGAAATTACCAAAGTTGTGAGACAAAATGTGTGTTGGTGTCAAAAAACTTTGAAGCTGCAAAACTATTGAAGTTGCATTAGAAATGACACTAACACACATTTTGTGTCACAACTTTGTTAATTTTGATCCAATTTTAATGTAATTAGGCTTCAATTGAAGCCAATTGAATTCTCTACAAATCTCCTGTGAATGATTTTAATGCAACTTCAATAGTTTTGCAGTTGCAAAACTTCAAACTGAAAGTAGATGCTTCAATAAATGAACTCATAGATGCTTCATTCTTCTACAAATAGACTGTATAATCAATTTACATTGTAATTGTTCTCCTGCATTCCTAAGCTTAAAATAGTACCGCAAACCTAAAATAAAGCACGTACCAAGTTTCTGGATCGTCCAAATCCAGCCCGCTAAGGTCCAAAATGGACATGGAATTGTCCCCCATCCTGTTACTTGCTCCAATTTCTAGGGTTTCAATGTCAGCAGCTGACAAATCCATATCTATTTTGCTATAAACTAATTACAATAATTAATTATCTATTAGGGAAAATGTTGATTTTACCTCATTCTTTGTATAATGGACACTACTTTGTGGATAATAATGATAATTGATAAATAAATAAAATAAATAAATAATACGTTTACATTTATTATACAAAATGCAAATTAATGAGACTTTCTTTTATTTATATTTTTAATTATTTAAAGCCCCAAATACATTGTTGCCAAACTTTATGTGGTTGCGTGTTGCTACATAAATATTGTCGTCATCTCTTTTCTACTCATATAAATAGGCTTGTTTTTAAATATTGGTAACAATACAAAAATGACATCTGTCAAAGTCAATTAACAATACCATTTTATTTGTTTATTATTTATTATTATTAGTTAATTTGTTTTTAATTTTACAACAAACAATTATGGAAGGTAATTTTGTGCTTGCAGAATACTCTAGTAATATAAATAGTGTAATTAAACAAACTTTTCAGTCCATGCAAAGAATCAAGGTAAATATTTGTTTATAAATAAACAAAAAAATACAGAAATCTGTAATTATTACAGGAATCTGTTTTATTTTTTATTGCAGCTTACATGTTTCGATGCGTCGCCGCACTACCTTATTTTTGGCGCCACTAGCGGCGGAATTTATATTTTCCAATGTTGCCAGTTTGTGAAATTAATCCCTAGTAAAGTAAGGCCTCAATCAAATCAAATTGCTTGATTCTTAATAATTATTATTTATTATTAGGAAGGTTCTGCTAGTCTGATTGCAATTTCCAAAGACGAGCACAATGTCGCTGTTGCCACTTCTAGAGGTTTAATACTTGTTCTCCAGAATTTTCTAGAAGATTCTAGCAAGTATCAGGTTTTTAGTGAGCACGAAATGCGCAACGTTACTTATTTTAAGTGGCATAAAAATGAGCTTTACGTTGGGGATGACAGAGGAAAAGTATCTATAATTAATGCTTCAGTAAGTGGAATAATGACACTATTCCAGGCTCTTGATTGGTTTGATTCTTAGGCCCAATTTATTCATCTTCAGATAAAGTTGCTAGTAACTGACAATGACATGTTAAGATAGTGTTAATATGTCATTGGTATTAACTATCTGCAAGATAAATTTACCTAATCATTATCTGACACCTGACAGTTTATCAGAAAGTATTTAATAAACTGGCCCTAACTAAAAATGTTTGTGCCTCAAAGTCTCAAAACCCTTTAGTTTTTTGGAGATTACAAGTACGAAAGTCCCCTAGCTAAAGGACGTCATACACTACACATAGTTTTGCATAATAATAAATACAATAAAAAATTGTTTGTAAAGTCTTACTTTACAAAACATCATTATTTTCAAAAAATCGTAACTCCATTAATAATAACTCAAGGTATTTTTTACATTGAATCATTAGGAAAAAGTCCTCAAAATTTCAACTTTCCACTCACTTCAGTTTTTGAGTGAAAAAATTGTTTGTAAAGTCTTACTTTACAAAACATCATTATTTTCAAAAAATCGTAACTCCATTAATAATAACTCAATCGCTTTGAGTTTTTGGTATTTTTTACATTAAATCATTAGGAAAAAGTCCCTAAAATTTCAACTTTCCACTTACTTTAGTTTTTGAGTGAAAAAATTGTTTGTAAAGTCTTACTTTACAAAACATCATTATTTACAAGAAATCGTAACTCCATCAATAATAACTCAATCGCTTTGAGTTTTTGGTACTTTTTACATTAAATCATTAGGATAAAGTCCTCAAAATTTCGACTTCCCACTCACTTTGGTTTTTGAGTGAAAAAATTGTTTGTAAAGTCTTACTTTACAAAACATCATTATTTACAAGAAATCGTAACTCCATCAATAATAACTCAATCGCTTTGAGTTTTTGGTATTTTTTACATTAAATCATTAGGAAAAAGTCCCTAAAATTTCAACTTTCCACTCACAGTTTTTGAGTGAAAAAATTGTTTGTAAAGTCTTACTTTACAAAACATCATTATTTTCAAAAAATCGTAACTCCATTAATAATAACTCAAGGTATTTTTTACATTGAATCATTAGGAAAAAGTCCTCAAAATTTCAACTTTCCACTCACTTCAGTTTTTGAGTGAAAAAATTGTTTGTAAAGTCTTACTTTACAAAACATCATTATTTTCAAAAAATCGTAACTCCATTAATAATAACTCAATCGCTTTGAATTTTTGGTATTTTTTACATTGAATCATTAGGAAAAAGTCCTCAAAATTTCAACTTTCCACTCACTTTAGTTTTTGAGTGAAAAAATTGTTTGTAAAGTCTTACTTTACAAAACATCATTATTTACAAGAAATCGTAACTCCATCAATAATAACTCAATCGCTTTGAGTTTTTGGTATTTTTTACATTAAATCATTAGGAAAAAGTCCCTAAAATTTCAACTTTCCACTTACTTTAGTTTTTGAGTGAAAAAATTGTTTGTAAAGTCTTACTTTACAAAACATCATTATTTTCAAAAAATCGTAACTCTATTAATAATAACTCAATCGTTTTGAGTTTTTGGTATTTTTTACATTAAATCATTAGGAAAAAGTCCTCAAAATTTCAACTTTCCACTCACAGTTTTTGAGTGAAAAAATTGTTTGTAAAGTCTTACTTTACAAAACATCATTATTTTCAAAAAATCGTATCTCCATTAATAATAACTCAATCCCTTTGAGTTTTTGGCATTTTTTACATTGAATTATTAGGAAAAAGTCCCATGGAGGTGGATCACAATCAAGAGCCGGGAATAATCAAAATTTGCCCCAAATTTATAGTATTTTTGCAGTTTCAAACGACAAAATCAATATTCCAACTACCCACAGCCACTTTGATGACTCTAGATTCTGCAATCGTCCAAATAGACACTTACCGAAGCTTTTTACTCATATCAACCAAAACCAAAACCTATTTGTGCAACACCGAACAAGAGCGCTTTATACAAATAGGTAAAAAGCTTAGAGACGGTTATTATGGGGCATGTTTTTCAAATAATCACAATGACACTGATGAAATACCCATATTGAGCACCAAAAGCAATAATTATGAATCAGTAAATGAATTATTATCAAATTGCAACGACTCAAACACCAAAATATATTGTGCCAGGCCTGGTGCAAGGCTTTGGGAAGCAAACTTGGAAGCCAAAGTCTTGACTACGTATCAGTTTAAAGGGGCCTTAAAGGCTGAGTCATCAAAAGTGCTGGTGATTGGGTGCGAAGAAGAAAGCACCCTCAAAATCACCCAATCGCAAGGGTCCTTGGACCAATTTAATTTTCAAAAGATTTACTGTTTGGGAGAAAGATTTGTGCTCACCTATTATTTGGATAAATTATATGTTTTTGATCCTGTTGAGGGTAAATTGGCCTTTTGGATTGGATTTGATTGTGGAATTAAGGATGTGGCTTTTATTGGGAATGGGCAGGTTTATGTTTGGAAGGATAATTTGGAAATTAGCGTTTTGGCAGGTATAGAATTCCAGACTTTTAAGCTTCTTTTTCCATTGTCCTTTGTCCCATCTTTCCAGTTTTTCTCCATTCAAATTAAGTTGCTCATCTACTTCCAAGGGGTAAACCACCATCCCAGAATTGATGCAAACAACAAAGGGGAATTTTTTACGCATAATTCACCAAAATTACTGCAAATTCCTTCAGATACTCAATCACAAATTCCTCCACGAACTTCTCCAAATACCCCACAAAATCCTCTAAAAAAAGGGAAAATTTTGACATTTTTTGCATGTAAAGAGGAAAGTGACAAGATCATTTTCCCAAAATTTCAATTTTTTCCAGTGGAAAATAACAACGGAATATTGGAAATCAACCTACAATAACTGAATTAATTGATAATACAGTCTCACATATTTCAAAGTTTTCCTAGAAAACTAGAGAAGGAAAAATTTTGAAACTTTTTGCATAGAAAGAAGAAGGTGAGAAGCTCATTTTCCCAAAATTTCAAGTTTTTCCAGTGAAAAACAGCAACATGAAAAATCTTGAAAATCAACCTACAAAAACTGAATTATTTGAAAATACAGTCTCACATATTTCAAAGTTTTCCTGGAAAACTAGTGAAGGGAAAATTTTGAAACTTTTTGCATGTAAAGAGGAAGCTGAGAAGCTCATTTTCCCAAAATTTCAAATTTTTCCAGTAGAAAACAGCAACATGAAAAATCTTGAAAATCAGCCTACAAAAACTGTATCACCCTATAATTTTCTTTAAATTCCTCACAAATTCTTTCAAATTCCCCATAAATTCCTTCAAATTTCCTATAAATTCCCCAAATTCTCATAAATTCCGATGAGTTCCTTCAAATTCCCCACAAATTCCTCTAAATTTCCCACAAATTCCTGTAAATTCCCCAAATTTTTTGGCAAAGAATTGCCCCTTGTCTACTTCTAATAACTTTTTCATTTCCAGTACTACAGCTTGAAACTCTAATCCTATCCACCTTGTACAAGAAGCAGTTTTACCTTTGCACCGAAATCTGTTTGGAATACTCTGAGGCTGTCTTGAAGCTACTAGAAACTTCCAAAAAACTGTATCTGTTATCAGCCCTGGCAACCAAAATCAGTGATAACGATTTGCTGCCAAAACTGGGACCAATTTTTGCTAAAATCAAGCAAACCAACGAGAAATTTTTGAGAAATCCTCAAAAAACAAACAACATTGTGGTTGTAGATAATTTATACTCAACAAAACCTGCAACAATACCTACTATTATTGAAGACAAAAACAAAGATTTAAAACTAATGCTAAAACAATACAACTTAAACAAAACCCATAAGACAATCGATATACCAGAAGTCAGCAACCTACTCAATAATTTCAGCAATAAACAAGAACTATTTATATTGTTTAAACAATTTGCTGAATATGTTAAAGCAGAATTAAACGAAGACTCTATTGATTGGTGCCAAAACCAATACTTAAAGCAAATTTCTCAAAGAAATATCTCAGTAAAAGACTTAGACCAGGAAAGCTTTGAGTTTCTCATTGAAGCTGTAACAAAATCTAATAATTTGATTAATTTTTCATGCCCTTGCGGCTATCCTTTGCCTAAATGTCACAAAAATGCCCCCAATTTTTACAAAACTGCTTTGGATTTATTTAATTCCAGAAAAATCAATACTGAACAGGTAACAATTTGTATTATTATTGTTTTATTTATTACTAAACACAGTTTTGTAGATTCTCAAGTCAATTCCCTATTTGTGGAGGTACAAAATCAAGACTGAAATATACGGATTAAATATACCAGCCTTAATTCAATATAGTAATTTGGATTTATTCAAGGAATATACATTGGAATTAGTGTATGATAACTGGCACGATGTTTTGGGCTATTTTGTCAAGCTAAACAAATCCATATGCCTGAATTGTGATAAGAGAATTGATATTGAGTCTGTGTTGAGTTGGACTGAAGTAGCAAAAGTTATAGTGCAATCGCTTGGGTCAAAAAACGGTATAAAAATTTTGGAAAAGTATGAGAAATTTATTCCAAATGGGGCCTTAGATGCTGGGTTTTATCAACTTTGTGTATTTGCTCATAGTTTCAAGGATGAAAATAAAATGAAGCGTGATGTGCCTTTTAGGTTTTACAAGGAGTTGAATAAGGAAGCCTTAGGACAGGTAAAAAATTTTGAGAAATTGTTAGATGGGGCATTTGATATTTGATTGCTTTCTTTCTCAGATTTATTTTTTTGATGTTAACGCAATGAGCTACCAGACATCACAAATTTCAACTTTCCACTCACTTTAGTTTTTGAATGAAAAAATTGTTTGTAAAGTCTTACTTTACAAAACATCATTATTTTCAAAAAATCGTAACTCTATTAATAATAACTTAATTGCTTTGAGTTTTTGGTATTTTGTACATTAAATCATTAGGAAAAAAAACCTCAAAATTTCAACTTTCCACTCACTTTAGTTTTTGAGTGAAATTTTTTTTTGTAAAGTCTTACTTTACAAAACATCATTATTTTCAAAACATCGTAACTCCATTAACAATAACTCAATCGCTTTGAGTTTTTGGTACTTTTTACATTAAATCAATAGGAAAAAGTCCTCAAAATTTCAACTCTTTACTGACTTCACTTTTTGAATGAAAAAATTGTTTGTAAAATCTTACTTTACAAAACATCATTATTTTTAAAAAATCGTAACTCCACTAATAATAACTCAATCGCTTTGAGTTTTTGGTATTTTTTACATTGAAACATTAGGAAAAAGTCCTCAAAATTTCAACTCTCCACTCACTTTACTTTTTGAATGAAAAAATTGTTTGTAAAGTCTTACTTTACAAAACATCATTATTTTCAAAACATCGTAACTCCACTAATAATAACTCAATCGCTTTGAGTTTTTGGTATTTTTTACATTGAAACATTAGGAAAAAGTCCTCAAAATTTCAACTCTCCACTCACTTTACTTTTTGAATGAAAAAATTGTTTGTAAAGTCTTACTTTACAAAACATCATTATTTTCAAAACATCGTAACTCCATTAATAATAACTCGATTGCTTTGAGTTTTTGGTATTTTTTACATTGAATCATTAGAACAATAGTTTTCCAGTTACTTCTAGAAAGACTGAGATGTCTTTAAAACTTTCTGCGCTGTCTGGGCAAACAAATTTTCACAAGAACCACCAACAAATTAGTTATTTTGTGTTTCAGTTACAACAATGCATGGCAAACAATTTCAAAAGAAAATACACCAGTGTCAAAGCCAGCTACTACGAGTTTGTACCCGAAAAATCAGGCCTGTGCCAGCTATGCAACCTCCCATTAAAAAACGACATTTTGTTTGATTGCATTAAACCTTGCAGCCACAACTTTCACAAGTTTTGCTATGAAAGAAACGATAATTCTTGCAACATTTGTAATAATAACTGATTTATTTTTATAAAATAATAAAGGAACATATTTTTTGTATATATTTATTCTAGCCCTAAAACATAATTTATCCCTTGCACTATGAATAGTACCAAAGGCTGCCACGCTACCAGCCACCTGATCCAGTCTAGCAGCTGCCCAAAAAGCATGTGAGGCTTTTCCCATGGGTTGGAAAATATTTTCTTCAAGTCTACTTTTTCTTTGCAGTAGGGGCAAGTTTGTTTTTTGCCCACTATGCACCAGCCTCTAATACAAAACTCGTGAAACACATGTTCACAGCTTAGTTGATAAGTATTTTCAATAACTCCTTCTTCATCTGCTGCTACTAGAAGTTTGTTGCCGCAAATGGCACAAACATTGGGGTCTAGGTTTTTGGTTGGAATGCCTTGAGGTGAATAGTAGCCTATGTGCGAGGCCATTTTGTCTGCGCATATTTCAGAAATGTCTCTGCCTAATACTCCATAGTAGAGGCCGTAGAAAATAAATAAGATTGCAACATCCATCCAAATGTCTGCTTTGGTATTGAAGACTAGATTTATTCCAAAAAAGGTTGCCATCATTACTATGTAGCCAATGATGCCTAATAGATAACTTAGTTTGTATAGCAGGAGGAACCATTTGTATACTAGCCTGTGGAGAAATTCAGTGTGTAGGTAGACCAATGAACATTGTATATACTTTGTTTCCTTTTAGCTAGAGGAGTACAGGGTGTGTCAATGATTGAGGTTTCCTAAGCTTTATATATACTTAATATAAATTTACAATGTTTCTTTTAACTAAAAGGAAACATAGTATAGATGACCTTTTTACCTAGGAGTAGTTCCTTCTAAAGGTCTCTGATTGGCCTTTCTAAATATCAAACCCGTAATACATGAGAATAAGAGCCAAATAAATATAAACCTCCACCAATGCTGTTTGAGGCAAATTCCTATGGGTACCAGCCACATACCCAGCAAAGTAACTATCTGGAAAATTGAGTGTTAAGCATTGGCTATTGCAATAGGAAATTATTCCTGAGGGGTTTTTCACCTTGTTAAACTGGTTAATATATACCAATTTGTTAATTATGTAGGTAATATATGTCAATACTTTTAGATATCTAGGCAATACATAATGTCATTAAATGGTATGTCAATAGCATGGTAATATGTGATAATACTAGGGAAATACCTGACAATATGTGGAAATATTTTGTTGATACATGGAAATAGTTGACAATAACATATATTGTTATTAGCTACATAGAAATATCTGTTAATTACATGGAAATATTTCAGTTAATGTACAAATTTTGTTAGGTGAAAAATCCCTGGATTATTCCTTACTGAATAACTCCTATAATGCCGCCTTTTCCATTCAATCAATAGAAATTGAGCTACAATTAGACAGACAATGAGTATAATGATCATTTCAAAGTGCATTTTCTCATGTCCTTTATGCTTTTCATGCATCCTCTGATGTTCATATCTGTAAGATTATTAATAAATTTAACTCAGTTACTGATTTCTTAATACTTGCCGCATCTTTTCTTCACTATTAAGCTCGTCTACAGTCTAAAAACAATATAATAAATAAGTGGACAATAATTTAAATATACACAAATCTTATACCCTGTTTTGCATTAGTACGGGTTTGTGTAGGTCCATTTTTGTTGCCGCACCTAAATAATTAATATTCGACTAGTTGAAGGTAATTAAAAAGGCAATCTCATTAATTACCGAAAATGTATTTTTTGAATATTTAAAACATTGATGGAAGAATACATACACGTCACGAAAATCAACAAATGTATTGGGTTATGTGATCATTGTGGATCGCGTGTTTTGTTCGCGCATGAATTTTATATATTGAAAGATTTGTCAAGGTTGAGGTTGACAATAATTGAAAAGGTAACTAAAGGTATTTGCCTCATAACTTTGTTAATTTCAATCCGATCTCAATGTAATTGGGCTTCAATTGAAGCGAATAAAATGATTTACAAATCTTCTATGAGTGATTTCAATCCAGCTTCAATAGTTTTGCAGCTGCAAAGCTTCAAAGTCTCTTGACTATGATTTTCCTCAGACTGTAACAGAATTAACATGCCCCTTCGCCACGGTATCCAGAATATATGCCAAAATTCCAGAAAAGGCTACCTTTTTCGGGCAAATACGATTGTCGCGTTTATTCTGGATTTTACATGAATAGATTATGAATATATAAAGGCCGGTATTAGAACCTAGAAGAGAGTTGCTAGCCATAGTAAAAGCAGTCGACCATTTCCATAAGTAAGTAAGTACTATGGTATAGAGGTACCTATCACTGATCTCATACATCTTCCTGAATAATCTTAAAAAGCCTGTCAACTTGTGAATTGTCTGATTATCCGCAAATGCTGTAATCCTCAATTCTCTCATTGGAAGATGAGTTTGACAAAAATCAAGAACAAAAGTGGTCTAGAAGCCCTAAGGTGCGCCAATTCTTACAGAGCTTTCCTCATTGAAAACAACTGACTGAATCCTAGCACTCTTATATGATCGCAACCGCTCCCTAATACCATAGATAGTAAGTTTACCCAGTACCTACTGTGGTGATTAGTGTATATGGAGGTTCAGGAAAAACACACGTACGGAGATCCACGGAAATCCAAATGATCTCCAAAAATATGCCTGGAAATCTTAGGACATGCCTAGAGATCCAACCAAGGATATCTGTGGTAATTTATGAAGTTCCAAGAAGATTTCCAATAATAGAGATAATGTTCTGTCCTCCGATGGGGTTGCCACTGTGGAAATCTTCTGCCTTATGGGTGGAGATCCATAGATATCTACATGAATATCTGGTAGAGATACATAAAGATTTATTGGCGATATGTAGGAGATCCAGTGGAAATACGTGGTTAATATTAATGTACCTATATGTAGGTCCGATGATATATGATTTGATATATTATCCGTTCACAATCCGATGTCCACAAGTACAGGTAAAATTTATCACCTTTCAATAATGCTATTTAATAGGGAAAGATGATAAATTTACCTGCACCTGTGGACATCGGATTGTGAACAGAATATATGCAAGCAAGATATGCTTGGAGATCCAAGGATATTCACAAATTGAGATTTTCTATCATAAAATATCGCATTTATTTTTGAATTTTTCTCAAGGTAAGAAGTAATTCAGGCCTATGATGTATCATATTGTGTCATTTCAACATTATATCTGAAGAGTCAAGATATAGGAGACAGGTACTATATAGATGTCGACAAAGCTATAGCTGTTTAACATAACAGTAGAGGATATAATTATAATAGGCCAATTTCTGTCTTCGTCGCTCATATTCATATTTCTAAAACACTGACAATGACAGAGCAATCGTGAGAATGCTGTTTGCCGATTTCAAGAATAGAGGCCCAGATGTGTATATTCTCGAAACCGCGGAACACCGTTTTGTGTTTTATGGAAATATAAATGAGGACAACGAAGACCAGTATACGTTACTGGCCTGAAATATGAATGAGTATTTGGACTGATGTTGAGGAAAATTGCAGCAATTTACTCAACATTATTAAAAGAATTCCATAATTAAGAGAGACAAAATATAATTGTAGAATGATATAAATCAACTGACCGAAACAGGGTAACAACATTCTATCTTCGTCGCCCATATTCATATATTTCCATAACACTGACAAAGACGTAAGAGCGCTATTCCTTGGTTTCGAGAATAGAGGCTCAGATGTATATTTTTGAAACCGAGAAACAGCGTTCTCATGACAACAATTGCTCCGTCTTTGTCAATGTTATGTAAATATGGATAAAAGCGACGAAGATAGAGCTTTATTTTCTGTTTCGAGAATAGGGACCCTTTGATATGTATGTAGTATAAAGATAGTTTTAGAAATAAAAATAATACCAATACTTCCATAGAGTAATAAGTATTATAATATTTTAATGTTTGAGATAATCAGGCCTATGATGTATCCTCTCCTGTTATTTTAACAGTTGTGTTATAGCTCAAAATCTATACCTGTCTCTATTTTTACGTGCAGAATAAACAGTGACAGATAACTTAACGTTGCTGTTAAAATAACACAAAGTGATACATCATAGGCCTGATTATTGCGGAAAGTACTACTTAAGCACATGATTGCAGTAGGCCTAACAACAACAATGGTATTCTCATGACCTAAAATGCGTGCAGAAAAGTATAGGGTATTACGCACGCTCATGGAAAAAACAATACTAGACACTTTCTTGGAGTACCGAGTACCTAACAATTCAAGCCTTATAACTAAATGGAAATCAATTTCAATGCTTGAAACTTCTAGCATGATTGCCAAAGGCTCTTTCTATTCGTTTCACAACTCAAATAGAATGGAAATTCAAAGCCATAAGCTAAATTCTCTAGATAGTTTTGCTCTATAGAATGTTTCAAGACTCCAGTAAATGGTAAATTATTATGGAAGAATTCCTATGGGTTTGAGGATAAGGGAGCGATTCTCAAACTGGATGGATGTCTCCAGAACTCTCAATAATCTCTCATCAGAATTTATAATTTACAATAATTGTCAGATTTATAGTTTTTGAGCAAATTAAGTTTGAGTGTCAATTGCTCAAAAACTACTTGAGTAATTCAACTCAATTTTACATGGATTTATAGAGAATTTAATTCTCTTTCCAATGGTATATAGTTTATTTCAATTTGCTTGAGATTTAACAAAGATATGGGCAGTTATTCATGACCATGTCAAGATTTTGAAAATTTTTCAGAGTCAAAAATAGGATTTTCTTTTTATTTTTGTTTCTGCTTAAAATGGCCATTTAGAATTGATGTCAGGGTTATTTTCCACTAATTTTGACCCGCTTTATCGATTAATGAAGTCAAAATTGGGCAAAACTGAAAAATAAAAAAATCGAGTTTTTCATAAGGGGTACCCCTTTGAATTCTAATTTCAAAATATTCAAACCTCAATGGCTTGGTAACCGTTGAGCAAATTGCATAGAAATTTTCAGCCTTTGTAACTCTTATTGAGCTCTAAATGGCCTGTAATTTACAATATTCCCAGATTTATAGTTTTTGAGCAAATTGAATTTGAAGTTTTTGACAAAATTTGGACTAAAAGTCAACTTTGAGGCTCAATTGCTCAAAAACTATTCGAGGTATCAAACTCAATTTTGCATGGATTTAAAGAGAATTTAATGCTCTTTCCAATGGTGTATAATTTATTTCAATTTGCTCAAAATTCACCAAAGATATGGGCAATTGTTCATGACCATGTCAAGATTTTAGAAATTCTCCAGAGCCAAAAATAGGATTTTCTTTTTTATTTTTGTTTCTGCTTAAAATGGCTATTTGGAAATGATGTTAGGGTTGTTTTCCACTAATTTTGACCCGCTCTATCGACTGGTGAAGTCAAAATTGAGCAAAACTAAAAAATAAAAAAATCGAATTTTTCGTAAAGGGTACGTACCCCTTTGAATTCTAATTTCTAAATATTCAAACCTCAATGGCCTGGTAACCGTTGAGCAAATTGCATTAAAATTTTCAGCCTTTGTAGCTCTTATTAAGCTCTAAATGGCTTGTAATTAACAATATTCCTAGATTCATATTTTTTGAGCAAATTGAATTTGAAGTTTTTGACAAAATTTGGACTAAAAGTCAACTTTGAGGCTCAATTGCTCAAAAACTATTCGAGGTATCAAACTCAATTTTGCATGGATTTAAAGAGAATTTAATGCTCTTTCCAATGGTGTATAATTTATTGCAATTTGATCAAAATTCATCAAAGATATGGGCAATTGTTCATGACCATGTCAAGATTTTAGAAATTCTCCAGAGCCAAAAATAGGATTTTCTTTTTTATTTTTGTTTCTGCTTAAAATGGCTATTTGGAAATGATGTTAGGGTTGTTTTCCACTAATTTTGACCCGCTCTATCGACTGGTGAAGTCAAAATTGAGCAAAACTAAAAAATAAAAAAATCGAATTTTTCGTAAAGGGTACATACCCCTTTGAATTCTAATTTCTAAATATTCAAACCTCAATGGCCTGGTAACCGTTGAGCAAATTGCATTAAAATTTTCAGCCTTTGTAGCTCTTATTAAGCTCTAAATGGCTTGTAATTAACAATATTCCTAGATTCATATTTTTTGAGCAAATTGAATTTGAAGTTTTTGACAAAATTTGGACTAAAAGTCAACTTTGAGGCTCAATTGCTCCAAAACCATTCGAGCAATTAAACTCAATTTTACACGGATTTATAGAGAATTTAATGCTCTTTCCAATGATACATAATTTATTTCAATTTGCTCAAAATTTACCAAAGATATGGGCAATTGCTTATGACTATGTCAGGATTTTGAAAATTTTCCAGAGCCAAAAATAGGATTTTTGGGAAAGAAAGAAAATCCTCACAATCAAGGCACAAATAATAATGGAAATAAATAGGATTCTATAGGAATGAAATAAAAGAGCCGATAAGAAAAGAGAATTTCAAATAAGTAGAGAGAAAACACAGCCCACTATACCCACCTACCTATGACCCTAAAATCCCTACCAGTAAAATAATATGGTTTATTTGGTGGGGCTCAAAGTGGGGGATTGAAGGGCAAGGTAAAAATAATGGGTGTTTCACGGAAAGGGGTGGCTACTCTGCTGAAGAGAGGTTTTACAGTAGATGTAGGTAGTGGTCTAATGGCTGTTCTTTCACTCTACAAAGAAAATACAAAAATTCATCTTTATTTTCAACTTCAACAATCTTCTTCACATACAACCACTTCCTTATTGACACAATCCTTACTATCCCCTTCATCCTCGTAGCGATCCCGACCCGGAATCCTATACCTGTATTTCGTACCCTTGCCGCATTTGGCACTGCACTTCGACCATTGGCTCCAAATAATATTAGCACAAACATTCTAAAACAATCAAAATTATTTGTTATACAAAACCCAGGATCTCATTATTATACCACATAGTTTTCTCCACTCTCACATTCGGCCAAACATTCTTGAGTTTCTTCACGAGTAATGTCTTCACAGGTGCCTGGAGCAGGGGCGTACTTAAATTTTACGCTTCTAGTCATGTGGCCTTTGCCACATTGAGCACTACATGAAGACCATTTAGTCCAACCAATGGTTTCACATTTATTATCACTAGAACCAAAAGATCGGTGCGGTTGGTAGTTTGGCTCAGGTTTTTCCTCTTCATCAACTTCTTCATTTATTGGATCAGGAGGTTTTCTACAATAATTGATTATTTAGTAATTATAATAATGCAGAAACTACTAATATTTACCTGTCTGGATTGCATCTTTTCTGGTAAATTTTCTCCAACTTGAAATGCAGCTGAGCTATAGGCTTCATTCTTTCGCCACTTTTATCATAAAAAGGCGATCTTTCATCATCTGGATCAGTTGAAGTAATTTCCTTGATTATTGGATGTTGATTCCTGGAAGGACTTCTTCCATTATATTCAACTGCATCATCAATACCAACATCTCTTGGATACAAATTAATGGTGCGATATTGTTTCCACGAACAATTGGCCAAGCAAAGTTCCATGCTTGGTACTCCAACAATCCAATCTGGTGAAGGCATCATTTTACTGACCATTGAAACCAAATGGTTTTCGTTGTCAACACGAAATATTGCATAAGAGGATGAAGTTATGTTAGGATACGATAACCCTTTGGCTTTTATTATTGTATGCAAATTGGCAATGTTTCTCATTAGTTCTTCTTCCAAAGTCTTGGTACTACCATTGAATGCCAACTCTTTTAGGCCTTGACTGGGTTCTAAGTTGTCGTTCCAAAACTCGTGGCCGTATTTGTGCGAAGCACCTACAATATCACTAAATCTTGTAGTAAAAAGATTTTCAGGGAACCCATTTGGATGATTGTTTCTGATCCAGTTGCCTTTGAAAGCCATTTCGTATTTTGCTTCATCGCAGGCGCAGCAATATGTTAAAATCTCTGGAAGTTGGTCTTCGTTTTCTTCGAAGCTTTCGCAAAGGGTTTTGGTTAAATAACCATCCGAAGAACCATCTTCATCTGCGTACCATTTTTCTCTGGTTTCAATTACTGTTGCTTTGATTGTAACGCATCCACTGTTGGAGGGTGGTGCCAGCCAAAAAAGTACCACTTGCTTTTTGGGTTGGGTATTGGCCTCGGTTACAGTGTTGGCACATTGATGGCTGAATTTCGATAGAGTGTCTTCGCCTAATTCTAGAATTCCTGTTTGGTGGGTGACGTCGTCTTCGTCGTCTGGGCTCAGACGAGATTCCAGGCTCAAGATGAATTGTTTGAATTTTAGGTTGGAGTTCAAATAGAAATCAGCCTTGATTGTTACTTAAAAAAAATAATGCAAATCTACGTTAGATTCTCATGATTTAGAATTACCAGACAATAACCTATTAACTTTAGTCTCAATTCTTGTTTTTCCAGGATCAATTTATGTTTATTCCAGGTTCTTGGAATAAATTCAATGTTCAAGGTACCTTCTTACTAAAACGATGAAATTTCAAATTTTTTTTTGGTTGAGATTTTGTGTCCTAATGGTCAATTAACATCCCCCAAACTCCATACACTAAATTATTCTCAGATTTGAAGCCGAAATCTATGAAAAAAAGCACACAGAAAAATTGAAAAACTGATAAATCACCCCAAATTGCTTAACACGATTTTATCGCAGGAACTATAAGTGCAAATGAGCTGAAATTTGCACCGCAGGGCGCTAGTAAATCAGTGCGCCCACAGGGCGCTAGTTATGAAATTCGGTGAAAATTTTAGCTTTCTATCTATAATAGTAAAAAAGTTATGGCCTTCCAAATTTTTCTATAAGCTAAATCATAAAATAAAGGAATTTCCAGAGAGGAAGAGGTAGGTTGCCTGATAACTTTTATGACGTCATCTGAATACCTAACTAATGGGTTAGTGTGAAGTTATCCATAAAATCTCAGCCATAAAACTAGAGAATCGCGGTTAGGCCTACTTTTAACTATACCGGCTGGATCCTCATAAATTCTGGGGGCTGTTTGTGCTATATTGGAAATAACTATGAATGCTAGCTACTACTCCTAGCAATAAACAAAAATTAGTTTTGTGTAATGCCCGCCCGCCGTCTAAGTCTAGAGACTACAATCGAAAATTGACAAAAATCACGACTTTTTTAGGGTTTTTAATTTTTTTGAGACACTCAGACGGCAGGACATTTCACAAAACTATTTTTTCTTGATTGCTAGGGGTGGTAGCTAACATGTGTAGCTATTTTCGAAGCGGCACAAGCAACCGTGTAGAGACTACAATGGAAAATTGACAAAAAACACGACTTTTTTAGGGTTTTTTATTTTTTTGAGACACTCAGACGGCGGGACATTTCACAAAACTAATTTTTCTTGATTGCTAGGGGTGGTAGCTAACATGTGTAGCTATTTTCGAAGCGGCACAAGCAACCGTGTAGAGACTACAATGGAAAATTGACAAAAAACACGACTTTTTTAGGGTTTTTTATTTTTTTGAGACACTCAGACGGCGGGACATTTCACAAAACTAATTTTTCTTGATTGCTAGGGGTGGTAGCTAACATGTGTAGCTATTTTCGAAGCGGCACAAGCAACCGTGTAGAGACTACAATGGAAAATTGACAAAAAACACGACTTTTTTAGGGTTTTTTATTTTTTTGAGACACTCAGACGGCGGGACATTTCACAAAACTAATTTTTCTTGATTGCTAGGGGTGGTAGCTAACATGTGTAGTTATTTTCGAAGCGGCACAAGCAACCGTGTAGAGACTACAATCGAAAATTGACAAAAATCACGACTTTTTTAGGGTTTTTAATTTTTTTGAGACACTCAGACGGCGGGACATTTCACAAAACTAATTTTTCTTGATTGCTAGGGGTGGTAGCTAACATGTGTAGCTATTTTCGAAGCGGCACAAGCAACCGTGTAGAGACTACAATCGAAAATTGACAGAAATCACGACTTTTTTAGGGTTTTTAATTTTTTTGAGACACTCAGACGGCGGGACATTTCACAAAACTAATTTTTCTTGATTGCTAGGGGTGGTAGCTAACATGTGTAGTTATTTTCGAAGCGGCACAAGCAACCGTGTAGAGACTACAATGGAAAATTGACTAAAATTACGACTTTTTGAGGGTTTTTAATTTTTTTGAGACACTCAGACGGCAGGACATTTCACAAAACTAATTTTTCTTGATTGCTAGGGGTGGTAGCTAACATGTGTAGCTATTTTCGAAGCGGCACAAGCAACCGTGTAGAGACTACAATGGAAAATTGACTAAAATTACGACTTTTTGAGGGTTTTTAATTTTTTTGAGACACTCAGACGGCAGGACATTTCACAAAACTAATTTTTCTTGATTGCTAGGGGTGGTAGCTAACATGTGTAGCTATTTTCGAAGCGGCACAAGCAACCGTGTAGAGACTACAATGGAAAATTGACTAAAATTACGCCTTTTTGAGGGTTTTTAATTTTATGAGACACTCAGACGGCGGAGCATTATACAAAATTAATTTTGGTTGATCTCTACTAGTAGTAGCTTACATTCATAGCTATTTCTAATATGGCACAAACAGCCATTAGAATATATGAGAATCCGGCCGGTATAGTAAAAAGTAGGCATAACCGCGATTCGATAGTTTTATGGCTGAGATTTTATAGATAACTTCACACTAACAAATAATGGACATAATTTTTCTTTAATAAAACATTCAATATACTTACAAGTATATCGTTCATTAGGCACATATTTCTCAGGCTTCCCATCAATTTCCAATAAATATTTTCCATTATTCGATTTAGTTTGATCGGAAACTATTAAATCATATTGTGTATCACAACGCAACGTCGATACACTTAATACTGATGCAAATAAAACTATATAGTCTAAATACATTTTTGTTTAAATTGATAATGACCCAATAATACTTTCACGATTCACACTATACTGGCTTTATCTTACAAGTCCAGTTATGTTTTATTTATAGTAAACAATAATTGTTTATCGTTATTGCAAACTATATAGGAGATTGCGTCTGGAAACCTTGGCATAATCAAAAACGAGGAATTTTGATACTGATTGAATGTTTATTGCTACAATACTTGTTTATATACAATACAGACAAAAATCTATTGGAAATGGAGTTTCTATATAATATTTAAGCAAAATATGACTCTTCATTTTTGTAGCTCGTAGAGTTTCCGAGATTTTATCCAAAATTTCAAACTCGATTTTCTCAAAAACTATAAACGCTAGCGCTGTCAACCCAATACCATTTTGAAGCCCTAATCAAGAGCTACAAATCCTGAAAATTTTGTCCTAATACCGCTTTTGGTTACCGAGATATTGAGGTTTGAAGATTTGGAAATAAAATTGTAGCCTAAGAAAAATGTGCAAAAAATTGAAAATTTTTATTTTTGGATTTTCCTCAATTTTGACTTCAGAAATCCATGAAGCGGATCCAAATTAGTCAGAAACAACTCTAACATAAGTTAAATTTGGAAATTTCAACGCGAAAAAAAATCCAAAAGGAAATCTCATTTTTGGCTCAAGAAATTTTTTGAAATCTTGACCCACTCATGAATAAAGGCTCATATCATCGAGGAAATTCGAGAAATCAGGCCACAATTATATATCATTGGAAACAGCATTAAATTCTCTATAAGCCCACACAAAATTGGTTTTTGTAGTTTTTGAAATTAAGCCTCAAAGTTGAAACTTAGTCCACATTTTGTCCAAAACTTCAAACTCGATTTTCTCAAAAACTATAAACGCTAGCGATGTCAACTGAATACCATTTTGAAGCCCTTATCAAGAGCTACAAATCCAAAGAATTTTGTCCTAATACCGCGTTTGGTTACCAAGGTATTAAGCTTTGAAGATTTGAAAATAAAAATCCAAAGGGGTTTAGAAAAAAATCCAAAAAATTGAAAATTTTTATTTGCGAATTTTTCTCAATTCTGACTTCAGAAATCGATAGAAATTAGTCAGAAACGACTCTTAGATCAGTTAGATTTGAGAATTATAATGAGATAAAAAATCCTAAAGGAAATCTCAATTTTTGTCTCTGGAATTTTTTTGAAATATAATTGCCCATATCTTCAAAAGAATTTGAGCAAATTAATTACAATTATATATCATTGGAAAGAGCATTAAATTCTCTTCAAAACTGTACCATAGTGGTTCCAGTACCTTAACGGGTTCATGGGCAATCGAGCTTCAAAGTTGAACTTTAGTCAAAATTTAGTCCAAAACTTTAAACGCCATTTTGAAGCAGGATGACTCTTCATTTTACATTATTTTGATGAAGATGTAAATGATTTTTCTATATGTCTTCAAATTTCCTAATTATTATTATTATTAGATTAAGATTAAAGAAATTCTAATTAAAATGATGTAGTGTATATATCTCGATTTTTACAATAACTGTGTTCACTTTCCACAATCCAAATTGCATTTTTTCTTTTTCATCAAACGTTTTGAACAAGGTGCTCCTCCATTACGTGCCTGAACTTGCACATAACGATGTTTCACCTTGAATCCTGGCCCACAATCATTATCCAAAGGCAAACATTGTGTCCAATCTGTCCACTTGGACATTACACAGTCCACCTTATCCATATAATCTGTATAAGCTGAAATAGAGTTTAAATTTTTATACTTTATAGTGGAGTTTAGATGAATTGTACCGCAATTATTATTACCGGTTGTTGCATCATTTTGGATGTTATAGGAAATGACTCCTGAAATTGAACCATCAAAGGTTTGGTGTTTTTGGGACGAGTTTGCTATAAGTTCTCCTGAAAAATTCAAAATAATTAGAGTAAATTTCCTTTGTATATGTTGCTCCTTCGACCACTGCTCCAATGTACAGAGCGCGTTCGAAAAAAGAGACAATAATAACTATTTACTTTGATATTTGGTACATAAAGTCTGGCAAAGCTCTAAAGTGTTGAAGTTGTTTTGGTTGCCTTCGCAGCCGCTGAAACTGAAAATTTCGCAACGGCCTTTTGCAGTATCAAAGTACCAACGGTCTATATTGCTTTTGCAGGCTCCGACGTCCTTTGGGAGACTACAAACTGCAACGTTGGGTTGTTTATTGGTGTCCTTTTGGCACGGTCTTTCGAAACATTCAACAGTTTCTCGTATACGTTTTTCGCAAGGATCGTCTTCGATATCCTGATTATCTAAAAAAAGAAATGAGTGATTATTATCGGCTCTTGATTTGAATCAAAAAGCATTGGGCTTGGACTATAAAAATGACTTTGAAGTTTTGGACAAAATTTTGACTAAAATTCAACTTTGAAGTTCGATTTCTCATGAACTCGTCGAGGTACTGGAACCAATAATGGCACAGTTTTGAAGAGAATTTAATGCTCTTTCCAATGATATATAATTGTAGTTAATTTGCTCAAATTCTATTGCAGATATGGGCAATTATTCATGAGTGTGTCAATATTTCAAAAAATTTCCAGAGACAAAAATTGAGATTTCCTTTAGGATTTTTTCTCTCGTTATAATTCTCAAATCTAACTGATCTGAGAGTGGTTTCTGACTAATTTGAACCCGCTCTATCGATTTATGAAGTCAGATTTAAGAAAAATCCAAAAATAAAAATTTTCAATTTTTTGCACTTTTTTCTAAGGGTAACCCCTTTGGATATAATATCTTCGTAACCAAAAGCGGTACCGAGACAAAATTTTCAGGGTTTGTAGCTCTTGATAAGGGCTTTCAGATGGTATTCAGCTGAAATCGCTAGCTTTTATAGTTTTTGAGAAAATCGAGTTTGAAGTTTTGGACAAAATTTTGACTAAAGTTCAACTTTGAAGTCCGATTTCTCATGAACCCGTCGAGGTACTGGAACCAATATGGTACAGTTTTGAAGAGAATTTAATGCTCTTTCCAATGATATATAATTGTAGTTAATTTGCTCAAATTCTATTGAAGATATGGGCAATTATTCATGAGCGTGTCAATATTTCAAAAAATTTCCAGACACAAAAATTGAGATTTCCTTTAGGATTTTTTCTCTCGTTATAATTCTCAAATCTAACTGATCTGAGAGTGGTTTCTGACTAATTTGAACCCGCTCTATCGATTTATGAAGTCAGATTTAAGAAAAATCCAAAAATAAAAATTTTCAATTTTTTGCACTTTTTTCTAAGGGTAACCCCTTTGGATTTTTATTTTCAAATCTTCAAAACTCAATATCTTCGTAACCAAAAGTGGTACCGAGACAAAATTTTCAGGGTTTGTAGCTCTTGATAAGGGCTTTCAGATGGTATTCAGCTGAAATCGCTAGCTTTTATAGTTTTTGAGAAAATCGAGTTTGAAGGTTTGGACAAAATTTTGACTAAAGTTCAACTTTGAAGTTCGATTTCTCATGAACCCGTCGAGGTACTGGAACCAATATGGTACAGTTTTGAAGAAAATTTAATGCTCTTTCCAATGATATATAATTATAGTCAATTTGCTCAAGTTATATTGAAGATATGGGCAATTATTCATGAGCGTGCCAATATTTCAAAAATTTTCCAGAGACAAAAATTGAGATTTCCTTTAGGATTTTTTCTCTCATTATAATTCTCAAATCTAATTGATCTGAGAGTCGTTTCCGACTAATTTAAACCCGTTCTATCGATTTCTGAAGTCAGAATTAAGAAAAATCCAAAAATAAAAATTTTCAATTTTTTGCACTTTTTTCTAAGGGTAACCCCTTTGGATTTTTATTCTCAAATCTTCAAAACTCAATATCTTCGTAACCAAAAGTGGTACCGAGACAAAATTTCCAGGGTTTGTAGCTCTTGATAAGGGCTTTCAGATGGTATTCAGCTGAAATCGCTAGCTTTTATAGTTTTTGAGAAAATCGAGTTTGAAGGTTTGGACAAAATTTTGACTAAAGTTCAACTTTGAAGTTCGATTTCTCATGAACCCGTCGAGGTACTGGAACCAATATGGTACAGTTTTGAAGAGAATTTAATGCTCTTTCCAATGATATATAATTGTAGTTAATTTGCTCAAATTCTATTGAAGATATGGGCAATTATTCATGAGTGTGTCAATATTTCAAAAAATTTCCAGAGGCAAAAATTGAGATTTCCTTTAGGATTTTTTCTCTCGTTATAATTCTCAAATCTAACTGATCTGAGAGTGGTTTCTGACTAATTTGCACTCGCTCTATCGATTTCTGAAGTCAGAATTGAGAAAAATTCAAAAATAAAAATTTTCAATTTTTTGCACTTTTTTCCAAGGGTAACTAACCCCTTTGGATTTTTATTCTCAAATCTTCAAAACTCAATATCTTCGTAACCAAAAGTGGTACCGAGACAAAATTTCCAGGGTCTATAGCTCTTGATAAGGGCTTTCAGATGGTATTTAGCTGAAATCGCTAGGGCTTATAGTTTTTGAGAAAATCGAGTTTGAAGTTTATTTGGACAAAATTTTGACTAAAGTTCAACTTTGAAGTTCGATTTCTCATGAACCCGTCAAGGTACTGGGACCAATATGGTACAATTTAATGCTCTTTCCAATGATATATAATTATAGTTAATTTGCTCAAATTCTATTGATGATATGGGCAATTATTCATGAGTGTGTCAATATTTCAAAAAATTTCCAGAGACAAAAATTGAGAATTTCCTTTAGGATATTTTCTTTCATTATAATTCTCAAATCTAACTGATTTAGAGTCGTTTATGACTAATTTGGGGTACCCCCTTTGGATTTTTATTTCCAAATATTCAAACCTTGATATCTTGGTAACCAAAAGCGGTACCGAGACAAAATTTTCAGGGTTTCAACATCCTCTTGGACTCTTATACTTTTCCAAAGAACTGTTGAGGAGAACATTTTGAAACTTTCAGTATACAAAGAACAAAGTTGGAAGCCCATTATACTAGAATTCCAAAAGCTCACCTTTTCCTCTACTTGGTCCGTAGATGGCTTCATGTCCAGTAAACTTCAACGACAACTTGTATCTTTCCTTGAACCCTTTGTCGCAAGTGGCCGAACACGGCGACCAATCAGTCCAAGGCCTTTCAGCACAATCCAGCCCTTCCTCAATCTCCTCATAGTCGCTACACTTTTCCTCAACCCAGCATTCCAAGTTTTGCTGCAAAATTAGTTGCCGCGTACGTCCAAAACCGCAACGTTTTGCCGCATAACGGTTTTTGAATTTCCTATCTCTAGTCTTGGTACCTGTAATCATCATTATTACAAAATCATTTTTAGGGGCAAATAATTCTATTAACCTTTGCCGCATGTGGCACTACAACTAGACCAAGGCGACCAAACTCCAAGTTCACAAAGCGGGTCTTCGACTTCTTTACGCCGGATTTGCGGGCAATATTTCTGTGCGGCTTCGCATGTGGCACGTTCCGTTAGCTTTTTGTGGCAAATGTATTTACTTTCTTCAGATTTGTAGCGACGCTGTTTGTATTTGACGCCTCTGCCGCACGTCACGGAACATGGAGACCATGGAGACCAATCTAAAAACACATTTTTTGGACAAACCAACTATTGTTTAAAGAAAGACATTTTTACCAGTAGTTTCACAGTTGGAATTGCTATCATCTGGGTCTTCGTTGGGTGAAAAATCGCAACTTTTTTCGTATAATCTTTGCCTTGTTAATTTTAATCTGGCAAAAGGTTTCATGCTAGCACCAGTAGGATCGTAAAAAGGTGATCTTGGATCATCTGGAAAGTCATATTTGAGCTTTCTGATTGGTTGCCTTGCAGCCGCTGGCTGATTAACAGACTGAAATACACATATAAATACACAAACATCTTAACAAAATTACATATTATTATACCAAATAAGTAATTCCGTCATCAGTTCCAATATCCCATGGATACAAATTGAAAACTTTTGATTCAATCCAGGAACAGTTACGCATGCAAAGTTCCAAACCAGATACTCCAACAATCCAGTCTGGTGATGGATCAATCATGGATACAATAGACATTAGATGGTGTTTATTATCCACGCGAAATACCGCAAATGTTTTGCCTGTTATATTAGGAAAACTGACCCCTCTGGCTTTGATTATTGTTCTAATATGATCACTTTTGGCTTTAAGCTCGCTTTCCAAAAGTCTGGTATTCCCTAACTCGGCTAGTTGCTGTAGGCCTTCACTAGCTAAATCTCCATAATTCCAAAAACTGTAATTCACGGTATGAGAAGCTCCAATAATATCACTGAATCGAGTTATTTTGCTGCCTGTAGGAAAATCTTTTGGATGTGTGTTTCTGGACCATAAGCCTTCAAAGGTGACTTCGTATTTTGCTTCATCGCAGGTGCAGCAATTTTTTAGGATTTTCGGTTGGGTGTCGTCAGTGTCAGGGGCTTCTTCGCATAAGATTTTCGACAAATCGCCGTCTTCGCTGTACCAAATGTCTACAGATTCGACTACGGTGGCTTTGAATTTGATGCAACCGCTGTTTTTGGCCGGGGCCACCCATAAAAACTGAAAGGATTTGCATTATTCCAAAAATTGTTCAACAGGGTTTTATTTTTGGCTGAAACTTTCAGGCATTGTAGTCCTCTACTGGAATAAGAATCGCTGAAAATTTCAGCTTTATATCTTTAATAGAAAAAAAGTTATGACCTTTTAAAGTTTTCCAAAATCTAAATCATTTTATTGAGATTTTGTGTCCTTATGGTACTTCAAGATCCCCCGCAGGGCGCTAGTTATCAATGAAAACTCCCATCATTTTTAGGAATTTCGGTGCATTTTCTGGCATTTAGAGGTATTTTGAGGCATTATGGTATTTTCTGAGTCATTTCATCATTTATCCTGTATGCAGAATCCCATTGACTCGAACTCGAAAATGCCTATAAATATTGAGATTTCCGTATCCTTTTTTATAGAGGATATGAAAAAAGACACACAGAATTTGATAATGTCATTTTTGGATGGAACTTTAACGTCAATTTTTTAAATTAAACGACACTCGGATATCATTTGTTTCAATCTCTAGTGGATAAATACGAACTTTCTCAACATATCCAAGAACCTACCAGAATTAATTAATTATTATCATCTGGGTATAATCTCGTGGAACACCCTGTATAAATTTAAAATCCTATACATTTTTTTGAGTATGGCATTTTCTCGTTTGAGGCTTCCTAACCCCGGAAAATATTCAAAAAGAAAATTCCAGAATTGTATTTCCCAACTTGACATGGCCCCATTAAATAGGCCATAATTCTGGAACGTCTGGACCGATTTAAATGAATCTTGTTTCATTTAAAAGAGGATTAAATTGGCTACAAAATGATCCAATTAAATATCAATACCTATCACCATTTCAAAATTAGAGAGCTTCACCTTTCAGAGTTCGAAGCAAATTCTTTTATATTTTCAACTCCTAAGAAACCATACCGATTTTGAAAAAAAAAAAAACGGACTCACTGTTGATACAATATTGATCTGCTGGTTTAAAAAAAAAGAGCAAATAATAGTGATCATGCATCACTTCATTATTGCAATATTCATCTGTGTAATTTGGAATGATGCTGGGGAATTAATCAAACCAAAAGGCAAATCTCTGCTGTTTTCTGCCATAAGAACTATAAGATTTTTAATGAGAAACGATAATCTCTTGGCACTCGAGGGTTTCATTTTGATGTTGGAAAAAGATTTCCATTATTGGGGGAATGCGGAAGTTGCAAATAAGTGTCATTTTTGTTTGCGATATTAGTCTGGGTAATTTGAAATGAAGCTGAGACATTATAGTTGAGGGTCCAAATTATGGCGCCTACTACAAAACGATCAATATTTTATTATTCCCGGCTCTCGTAGGAAATCTACCAAGGTGTAAAGATACGGGGTGATCAATATTTTATTATCCCTGGCTCTTAATGTATAAAATCTTTTACAAGAGCCAGTAATATAAAATAATTTTACCCACTGTAATTTGTCTCAACAAAAATAAGCCACTGTGTAAAGATACAGAGTGATCAATATTTTATTATTCTCCGTTCTTGTAGGAAATCCACCACTGTGTAAAGATACGGGGTGATCAATATTTCATTATCTCTGGCTCTTAAGGTAGAAAATCTTTTACGAGAGCCGGTAATAGACAACAATTTTGCCTACTGTAATTTGATTCAACCAAAATAAACCACTGTATAAAGATACAGAATGATCAATATTTTGTTGGGCAAATTTTCCACGAAAGCTGGTAAACGAGAACAATTCCACCACTGTATAAAGATACGGGGTGATCAATATTTCATTCTGTTTGGCTCTTAAGGTAGAAATTCTTTCACGAGAACCAGTAATATACAACAATTTTACCCACTGTAATTTGACTTAACTAAAATAAGCCACTGTATAAAGATACAGAATGATCAATATTTTGTTATTCCCGTCTTTTGTAGGAAATTTTCCACGAAAGCTGGTAAACGAGAACAATTCCACCACTGTGTAAAGATACGGGGTGATCAATATTTCATTATCTCTGGCTCTTAAGGTAGAAAATCTTTCACGAGAGCCGCTAATAGACAACAATTTTACCCACTGTAATTTGACTCAATCAAAATAAGCCACTGTATAAAGATACAGAATAATCAATATTTTATTATTCCCGGATTTTGTAGGAAATTTTCCACGAAAGCTGGTAAACGAGAACAATTCCACCACTGAATAAAGATACGGGGTGATTAATATTTCATTATCTCTGGCTCTTAAGGTAGAAAATCTTTCACGAAAACCGGTGATAGAAAACAATTTCATCCCCTGTAATTTGACTCAACAAAAATGAGCCACTGTACAGGGTGTTTGTTTATAACTGGAACACTGCAATAACTTTTTTATTATTGAGAATAGAGGGAACGTTTAAATTGGAAATTTTCTTGGTAAATTGCAATGATCTTAATCGCTACAATGAGATTTTTTTGTCGCCATAAGTATACAGGGTGCGCCAAAAAGTCATTTTTTCAAATGGAACGCCCTGTATATTTTTGCATTTTTGAAATTCTTAAAAAGTTAGCGTCACAAACATATCAAATATTATTTGTATTACAAAAATATACAGCGCATTCCATTTAAAAATAATATCTTTTTGGCGCACCCTGTAAACTTATGACGACAAAAAAATATCGTTGTAGCGCTTAAGGTTACAATTTACCAAATTTCCTAGCTTAAACATGCCCTTTATTTTCAATAACATAAGAAAGTTACTGAATGTTCCAGTTATAAACAAACACCTAGTACAAAAGATACAGAGTGATCAATTCTTGTAAGAAACCACCACTGGGTATTTTTCAGGAACTATAAGTCCAAATGAGCTGAAATTTTCAGGGCTTCTATGGGACAAGAAAATTCATTACATAAAACATTCTCATACTTACTTGTATCTCGGCTTTAGGTTGATTATCAGTTTCCACTACAGCGTGTTGGCAAGTATCACTAAATTTCGTCAAAGCGTCCCCATAAAGCTGCAGCGACCCAATTGACGTATCCGACGCTATATTTTTCTCCGGATTCTCGTTCAAAACGGATATAATAAAGTGACTGAATTTGTTGTTTTGCCCTTCGACAGCTCGCAGAAACACTATAGGAATAATTTTAATTAGTTTTCTCCAATTAAAGTTTCCAAAGGCTAATAAAGTCGTTCGAACGTTAAGCGTTTTGCCTTTATTGGCAGCGTCGACCCAATTCCGAAGTTTAATTATTGTCCTTCTTTTTGAACCGTATAAGGATTATGTGTCCTTTTTGCACAAAATTCACAGAATTTCTATTAAGTGAATAATTGGCCTCTCGACTCTAAAGTGAAAAATTCTATTTGGCTCTATGGCCGCTCTAAATCAAGCTTAATGTACGGTTAAAAAGTCCATTAAGGTAAATAAATATAAAGAATTGCTTCCGGTTAACTGGGTTAAAAGCGTCTCTAAAAAAAACTATTACAATTTTGCATTGAAATGCCATATGTGTATAGTCATCAATCATTCAGGAAATTGCCTTTTTCAAAAATGATAAATCATATATGTAGGCATATAATGATCGATTTACTATCACATTTCGTACAGTAGTTTAATCCTCTTCAATGAAATATTGAATTACCTGTATATTGTTCTCCAGGGACGTAAGACTCGGGGTTTCCCGATATGTCGATTTTGTACCTTGAAAAGTCTTCAGTACATTTGGGTGCCGTTACTCCTTCTGGAATCATGTCGCATCTCAAACCGATGTTTGTAGATGATGCAGCTTGGAAAATTAGTATTAAAAGTAGCTCACCAAGCATGATTTTTGTTTGGAACTACTGAAACAAATCTTGTATTTGTTACACATTAGGATTCAATTTTACTAGCCTAGAGCCTGGAATAGACAAAAATTGAGTTATAATTACTAGGATTTGTAGTCCTAGACACATTTTCTTCAAAAACCCCTTAAAATCTGTGTAATTTGAAAAGTCACAGGTGCATTTGTTAAACCAAAAAGGCTTCAGAAAACATTGTTCAGCAATACTAAATCACTCAAAATTCAATTTACATACCAAGTTACTTGAAAATATGCAGCAAAATTGTCGAGTATGTTGAATAGCCTTTTCCCTTTTTTGATGAGGGTTTTTAAATCAAACCCTCGAGCGTATAAATTTCCCACTTTTAAAATCAGCCAAGCGAACAAAAATTACTTTTTATCGATTCATATATACTGAAGTTAGTAGGTAATAATAATTTCTAGTAATATATAAGGTACTTACACAAAAATACAATAATAAGGAAAATAGTGTTTTCCTTCCTTCTAGATGAAAAGTTCCTGTGGCTGGCAGGTGCTGTTCTCGAGCTGAAAGCGCGCCATAAACTGAAATCTGGGGGGGTAGTGAAAAGCCGCGTTTATGAGTGGCTTTGTTGAAGCTGAATAAGGAGGTTGGGGCGACATTAATCTGTTTCGGATTGGGGTAGTATTCAGCTTCTAATCGCACATGACAGAAGATTATTGTTTTCATTGTGTTTAGGATGAATTGAAATTTGTCACAGTGGGTCTCTTTTACCTATTTGCATTGAAATTATCTTATTCCCAGCTTTACTAAAGCTTAAATTCAAATTAAAAAAGCATAATAATTCTATTCTTGGCGCTCCTAATGTCAAATATTGAACTAGAAAAGCTAAGATTTCTATCCAAAATGAGACAAGTTTGGTAATTTCGATCCGATCATCATTTTTTCAGTAATTCTTGGATAGTTTTGGAACGATGTTTATTCCTAAAAGCTACAAGGCTTTCTTTTAATGTTGAATGGAATCTTTCAATTGGTGAATTCGAATTAGGATTATAAGGTGTAACAAAATGTTAGTCAATCTTGTAAATCTTAAAAATATCTTGGATTAAATTAAATACTGGACCATTATCCGTAGTAATTTTACTAGGTGTTCCATGGTGTGAAAGTGAGAAGAATTTAATCAAGTTTTGACAAATCTCAATTGCGTTTTCGTTAATAGAATACGCAGTTGTAACTGATGCAAAAGTTGTTTCTGACTAATTTAAACTCGCTCTTCTATCCATTTCTGAAGTAAAAATTAGGAAAAATCCAAAAATAGAAATTTTCAATTTTTTGCATTTTTTTCTAAGGGTAACCCCTTTGGATTTTTATTTCCAATCCAAATCTTCAATCCTCGATATCTTGGTAACCAAAAGCGGTATGGGGACAAAATTTTTATGAAATGTAGCTCTTGATAAGGGCTTTCAGATGGTATTTGGCTGAAATCGCTAGCATTTATAGTTTTTGAGAAAATCGAGTTTAAAGTTTTACACAAAATATCAACTAAATTTCAACTTTAAGGCTTAATATCTCGGAAATTTCGAAAGCTACAAAAATCAATTTTGTACACGCTTATAGAGAATTTAATGCTCTTTCCAATGATACATAATTGTGGGCCATTTTCTCCAATGTATTCCATGACATAAGCAATTATTCATGAACGTGTCAAGATTTCAAAAAACCATAACCAGAAATGAGATGAGATATCCTTTAGGATTTTTTTTCTTATTGAAATTACCAAAAGTAACTGATGTAAGAGTTGTTTCTGACTAATATTAACTCGCTCTATCCATTTCTGAAGTCAAAATTAGGAAAAATCCGAAAAATATAAATTTTCAATTTTTTGCATTTTTTTTAAGGGTAACAACCCCTTTGGATTTTTATCTCCAAATATTCAAACCTCGATATCTTGGTAACCAAAAGCGGTATGGGGACAAAATTTTTATGAAATGTAGCTCTTGATAAGGGCTTTCAGATGGTATTTGGCTGAAATCGCTAGCATTTATAGTTTTTGAGAAAATCGAGTTTGAAGTTTTGCACAAAATATCGACTAAATTTCATCTTTGAGGCTTAATATCTCGGAAAATTTGGAAGCTACAAAAACCAATTTTGCATGGACTTATAAAGAATTTAATGCTCTTTCCAATGATATATAATTGTGGGCCATTTTCTCGAATGTTCTGGATGACATAAGCAATTATTCATGAACGTGTCAAAATTTCAAAAAAACCATAACCAGAAATGAGATGAGATATCCTTTAGGATTTTTTTTCTTATTGAAATTACCAAAAGTAACTGATGTAAGAGTTGTTTCTGACTAATATTAACTCGCTCTATCCATTTCTGAAGTCAAAATTAGGAAAAATCCGAAAAATATAAATTTTCAATTTTTTGCATTTTTTTTAAGGGTAACCCCTTTGGATTTTTATCTCCAAATCTTCAAACCTTGATATTTTGGTAACCAAAAGCGGTATAGGGATAAAATTTTCATAAAACGTAGCTCTCGATAATGGCTTTCAGATGATATTTAGCTGAAATCGCTAGCATTTGTAGTTTCTGGGAAAATTGAGTTTAAAGTTTTGCACAAAATATTAATTAAATTTCAACTTTGAGGCCTAATATCTCGGAAATTTCAAAAGTTACAAAATCGAATTTTACATGGGCTTATAGAGAATTTAATGCTCTTTCCAATGATACCTAATTGTGGGCCATTTTCTCCATTGTATTCGATGACATGAGCAATTATTCATGAGCATGTCAAGATTTCAAAAAATTTCTTGAGCCAAAAATGAGATTTCCTTTTGGATTCTTTTCTCGTTGAAATTTCCAAATGTAAATGTAGACCTAAGAATGTCAAAATAAGGAATTAAGATTAAAACTACATAATGTATTTACCAGAAAACGCAAACCATACAGAGATGGAAAATATTGAAGAAAATGAGACAGACGAAGAAAACCCAATCAATGTTGAAAGCTGAAGTAGTTCCAGTGGCAAATTTGAAAATACTATACCAATGACAGAGACAAAAAACTAGATCAGGAAGAAACATTTTGAGACTCAGAACTTTGCAAGATTACGAGATATATGCTACGACTTATTGTTTGTTGACTGATGATTACAGAATGGAAACAAACTATATCCTAATATTCACAATCCGTACTCCACAGGTACAGATAAAATTTATCACCTTTTAATGCTATTTGATAGGGAAAAGTGATAAATTTACCTGTACCTGGTGGACTACGGATTAAATTCTCACGAGAAATCAGTACATACAAAAACTATCAGAAGGACAAAATACAATAGATACAAAGTGGATTTTCAAGGTTAAGGAAAATGGAACGAAAAAAGTAAGATTGGTGGCTAGAGGGTTTCAAATATCTAGAAGTGCTACCTAGTATTTCGTACGAAGAACAACTCCAGCCGATTTTCCGTTTTCTAAAAGGCAGTTTTGAAAAATCTACGGCAGTGTGTCAACTTGACAACAAAAAGAATTTGTTAAGGCTCCAAAAATGTCTTAAGGGAGCAGCTAAACAAAACTAATTTCTACACTGAAAATCCTCTATGTACAGTACAGATAATCGAAGCACACATTACACAAATCAGAGGACCTAAAGCTAGAAACTTTGGTCGAATTTTCGCTGGTTATGAAAAATGTATGCATTTCTTTAGAAGCAGCAAATGAGCTTCACGAATACTTGAATAATCCCATGTTAATGCATGAACTTCTAGAAAAACTCTCATCACAAGTTAAAATTAATTGGGCAATTCACAGAAGCACGATGCAAAAATTTGAAGGTCTCATAGAGTTTGCTGATTGGTTGTTCAACGTTGCAGCAAACAACCTTACTTACTCTAAAAGTTGCTGAATAAAATAAAGTGTTTCAAAGAAATCAACGTTCCAATATTCATGAGACAGCTAAATCTGAAAGGTATCTTAATTAAACCTGTAAAATATGCAATGAACAATATCATCAAACCACAGATTGTCAACAATTTCGAAGATATCCTCTGGATAAAAGATAAGAAATTGTCAAGCAGTCAAATCTATGCAGGAATTGTTTGAAGAGACATCGATATCCGGTGAAATGTATAATCAAAACAACTGCCAAAGCAAACACCGCACCCCTTTTTTCATAATAAAAGAGAAGAATGCTCAAACGCTGACATTTCTACTAAGAACAATGATACCAAGCAAATTCATCAGGTTCTGCGATTTTACAGCATGTTAATATACCCACAGAAATTACAGAAATTAACGCATCATAAGTCCATGAATCTTGAGATTGAAAATTTGAGATAAAGTAGACTAGACAAGACGAGACAGCTAGAAGATTTCGTCCAGAAAAAGTACATAGACAAATTGTCTTTCGAAGAACTTACTCAGTTTCGTGCGAAGATCTGGTATCTGCCTATATTTCCTGTAACCCAATTCAAGTAATCCCGAAAAATTTCAGATCGTATGGGACGCAGCAGCGTCAGTTTAAGGTATCTCTTTAAATTCAATGCTTGACCAACTGGCATCTCTGTTTGGCATAGGTACTTCTTCGTTTAAGGGGATTCTCAGCAAATATAAAAGAAATGTGAAATCAAAAGAAACTAAGCCCTACATGTTTCGAAGCTATAAAGCTTCATTATCTAGAGGCAAGTTTGCTCAATATTACTTATACAGTTTTACATCATATTTAATTTGAATTTGGAAAAATGTTCCCGAGGGTCAGCATAAACTGTGGAGACCAACACGTACAACGTTTTTTTGTAGCAAAGTACGTAACCCTAAAAATCCTATCGATATCTATGTTATGACCGTTATGACATTTTGGAGCGATATGTTCTCCAAGCTGTTAGACAACCATTACGTAGATGATCTTCTTGATTCTGAAGATACTGAAGAAGAAACTATAGAAATTTCTGAACAAGTAACCTTGATTCATGCTAATGGTAATATCGAAATTCGGAATTGGCACTTGAAGTCTAGTAACTTTTAATGACTGACATGAAGAATCATTCCCAAACATCAAATCAATATAGAAAAAGTTTTGGGTATCTGGTGGGATTTAAAATCACATTTGCGTTTAAATAAAAGAAATGGGGACGTTTTAGATGGAAAACGAAAACCTACAAAAAGGGAAATTCTGTTTACTTATGTCAATCTATGATTCACTAGGACTTAGGACTAATTGCAAACTTCCTAGTCTACTTAAAAATTCTTCTGCAAGAAATTTGGCGCAGTAACATTTCATGGGATCAAGAAATTACCGATAAACAGTTTAAAAAATGGTTAATTTGGATTAAATCATCGTTACCAAACATTGAAAAGCTTAAAATAGCCTGATCTTGGACAGATGGAAGACTGGAATAACTGTCATACTCGGCTTCACATTTTCATAGATTCAAGCGAATACGCATCAGCAGTTGGCGTAGGTTTGTGGCTGAGTATATACCAAAACTTCTTTTACGAAAAACAACAGCTCAAAGAAAGAGACGATAATTGTAGTAATATGGAACAAGAAATTACCCAGATGCAATTGGCCAAAAGGTAAAGTAATTCAAGTAATGAAATCTACAGCTAACGGTATCTGAAAGACCTGTAGTCAAACTTGCAATGCTCTACCGGACGGGAGTGTTACGAATTTAAATGTTTCAGTTTATTTCGAGGTTTATTTGAATTATTATTATTTAATTTTCTTTGTTTTGTAAAATCACACTGTATCTCCCAAATTCTAATGTTTGGTAAATATCCGGCCACAGGTCCATTATTAATATGAGAGGTGTGTCAAAAAGCAGAAATTAGTAGTCACACAACTGATTGAAAAAGTTGAAATACGAGAATCCTATTTGACTAAAAGGACACGAAATTTGAGTTCTTCCAACCATTTTATCCTACTACAATTAAGTACGAAGATACAGTGTGAGCCAGAAATCTTGTATCCGCAGATAAATAAAAGTTGTGCAAGTACCGGGTATTTGTCTATATTTTGCACCCACACCTATCTCACCTGTTTGAAGAGATACCCAGAAATGTCAAGTGTGAAAGTTGTAGGTATAGGTAATATCAGAAAGTTTTTATTGATGTCAGTTATAAATATACAAGGAGTGTCACAAAAGTGTGGTAAAGCAAAATTATACTTTTATTATAAATGGAAAACTCCATAACTATATTATTGTCCCATTAGATTAGCCTTCCAAACCTGATTCCAAATATAATAGGTTTTTTAGGTTTATACTCATAGTTTCAGCCTCTTAATATAGGTACCATTTTGGAGAAATAATATCGATTTTTTACATGAATGATACTTCACCTTTTTCGAAAAAAAAATGCAATATTTCCACCCATTTTTGTCCTATTTTCTTCTGGACTATGAGGAATAAACCTAAAAAACCTAGTAGGTATATTCAGAATCAGGTTTGAAAGGCTAATTCAATGGGACAATAATATACGTGGTTTTTCATTTAGAAAAGTATAATTTTGCTCCGCCACACCTTTGTGACACACCCTGTATACTTATAGAGAATTTAATGCAATTTCCAATGATATATAATTGTGGGCCATTTTCTCAAATGTTCTGGATAACATAAGCAATTATTCATGAACGTGTCAAGATTTCAAAAAACCATAACCAGAAATGAGATGAGATATTTTTTAGGATTTTTTTTCTCAATGAAATTACCAAAAGTCCCTGATGTAAGAGTTGTTTCTGACTAATATTAACTCGCTCTATCCATTTCTGAAGTCAAAATTAGGAAAAATCTAAAAACGGAAATTTTTGACAATCCTACATAAATGGGGTAATTTCTCAAAAACTTTAAAACTGACAAATATGAAATTTTCTGGAATCCTTTATGAGGCATTAGAGCAGGACATACCAAAAATTCAAAGCAATTAAACAAAGGACACAAAAGATACAAAATGATTTACACAAAAACATAATTTTTGAAGGAATGAAATATGACAATCTTACATAAATGAGGTAATTTCTCAAAAACTATAAAAGCCACAAATATGAAATTTTCTGGAATCCTTTATAAGGCATATTAGAGCAGGACATACCAAAAATTCAAAGCAATTGAACAAAGGACACAAAAGATACAAAATGATTTACACAAAAACATAATTTTTGAAGGAATGAAATATGACAATCTTACATAAATGAGGTAATTTCTCAAAAACTTTACAACTGACAAATATGAAATTTTCTGGAATCCTTTATGAGGCATTAGAGCAGGACATACCAAAAATTCAAAGCAATTAAACAAAGGACACAAAAGATACAAAATGATTTACACAAAAACATAATTTTTGAAGGAATGAAATATGACAATCTTACATAAATGAGGTAATTTCTCAAAAACTATAAAAGCCACAAATATGAAATTTTCTGGTATCTTTTATAAGACATTAGAGCAGAATATACCAAAAATTCAAAGCAATTGAACAAGGACAAGGATCCTAGGAAAATCATAAAATGCCTATAAGAGAATTATTTCCAAAATTTCCAAAACCTTTTCTTGAAAATCAAAATGTTTCAATGGAGGCCAGACTCAAAATCCCCCTAAAAGCCTCTCAAATCTTGAATCTAAGATTACCAAACCACAATAATCAACTTTATAAACATAATTATTTATTTCCTTTTCTTTTTATACAAATTCACATAGAAATAGTATTTACAAGCAAATATTAATCCTATTGCAACTACAGCTAGTCATAGAGGGCCCTTATTGTTATCATTGTCTTTTTTAGGTGGAATAACTTGGAATTTTATATCGGTACCCTTTTGCCTTTTCTGAACCAATCTACCATAGGAAGATAGGTTTTTTTCTAGAAAAGAATAGACATTTTCCTGCAAAGATAATTTGTTATTTGGGTTACAATAAGGGCCAAATTATAGGTGTCTGGTTGTACTTTCTATTCTTTAGTGCATTGAAAGTACCTGCTAGATAACAACCAGTCAGTCCATAATTTGGCCCTAAGGCAAACTTCTCTCTTACAGCATTTTGAGTATTTTCTGCACTGCCATTAATAACCATTCTAACTTCATATTTCTTTGTTAGCCATTTGATGATTTTTTTAATGTTAGTTTCCAAATCATGCTCAGTTATTTTTTGGTTGAGTATAAGTAGTTTTTCCCCTTTTAAGCCCCCTTTTTGCTTATCAGCCTTTTTCTTTTCACGCTGTTTTAAATCCTCTTGATGATACTCTGCCCCTGACATTAGCTTATACAAAGGCCTTTGGGTTTTTGTATCTAAATCGATTATTTTCACTAGTTTAAGCTCACGTCTTTTGGCTAATTTTTGAGCTTCATCAAGGGTTGATACAGTAATATCTTGGCCACTTATTAGAGTAATTTTAGGTACCGGATTGGTTTTCTTTTTTTTGATTTCCCCCGTTTCTGGGTCGATTTGTGTTTTACTTGGAAAATCTTGTTTACTATAGAAGGCCACATTTAGGGGGCGAATTTGCTGCTGGCACAACCAACGCAGGGGGACAAGTTTATTAATAAACATTATAATTATTTAATAATAAATAAATAAACAAATAAAAAGTGAGGTTAGAATTACTTGTGAGTGACATTTGCAAGTGTTGACACGTGGCGCCATCTATGAATCATTATAGGTATTTATTTTGAATTATTATTGTCATAATTAATAAAAATAGGATTTTAATTAATTGAAAATTAGTTAATTAGGCTTAATTAGGCTTGATTTTAAATGAATAAATTGAAAAATTGGTTTTGCTACATGTAAACAAGAAGTTTGGCAATGCGGCGCCTTCTATGTACAATATGGCGACTTACTACATTAAAATTAACAATAATTGATTTAATTGAATTATTTTTGCCTCAATTATTATAAATAAGCATTAAATTAATTAAAAAATAGTTAATTAATGTAAATTTAATTTATTTTAAATGATTTAAATTGTAAAAATTACCAACAAGTAACTTGATAATGCAGCGCTACCTATGAACAATATGGCGACTTACTATATCAATATTATTATTATTAATTGATTTAATTGAATTATTTTTGTTTAAATTATCATAAATAGGCATTTAATAAATCAAAATTTAGTTAATTAATAAAATCTAAGCTTCATTATAAATGATTTAATTGAAAAATTACCAACAAGAAACTTGGCAATGCAGCGCCACCTATGCACAATATGGCGACTTACTATATCAATATTATTATTATTAATTGATTTAATTGAATTATTTTTGTTTAAATTATCATAAATAGGCATTTAATTAATCAAAATTTATTTAATTATTAAAATCTTAGCTTCATTATACATGATTTAATTAAAAAATTACCAACAAGAAACTTGGCAATGCAGCGCCACCTATGCACAATATGGCGACTTACTATATCAATATTATTATTATTAATTGATTTAATTGAATTATTTTTGTTTAAATTATCATAAATAGGCATTTAATTAATCAAAATTTAGTTAATTATTAAAATCTAAGCTTCATTATAAATGATTTAATTGAAAAATTACCAACAAGAAACTTGGCAATGCAGCGCCACCTATGAACAATATGGCAATTTACTACATTAAAATTACTAATAATGGATTTATTTGAACTATTATTGCTTCAATTAATATAAATAGTTAATTGAAATATTGTTAATTGATGTATATTTAGTTAAATTTCGAATGATTTATATGAAAATTTCATGTTGCTATATGTCAAACAACAAGAAATAAGTATATGGCATCATAACTACATTAATAATAAAACAATTTTAGTATTTTTTACATTAAACCTTTAGGAAAAAGTCCTCAAAATTTCAACTTTCCACTCATTTTAGTTATTGAGTGAAAAAAAAGTTGTTTGTAGAGTTTTACTTTACAAAACATAATTATTAAAAAAAAATCATAACTCCATTAATAATAACTCAATTGCTTTGAGTTTTTAGTATTTTTTATATTGAACCTCAAGGAAAAAGTCCACAAAATTTCAACTCTTTACTCACTTTAGTTTTTGAGTGAAAAAATTGTTTGTAAAAGTTTTACTTCAAAAAACATCATTATTTTAAAAAAAAATCATAACTCCATCAATAATAACTCAATTGCTTTGAGTTTTTAGCATTTTTTTACATTGAATCTTTGGAAAAAGTCCTCAAAATTTCAACTTTCCAATTAGTTTTTGAGTGAAAAAATTGTTTGTAAAAGTTTTCCTTGAAAAAACATCATTATTTTAAAAAAATCAAAACTCCATTAATAATAAATCAATTGCTTTGAGTTTTTAGTAAGGATGCGACATCGAGCACAGATTTCGATGTTGGACATTAACATCGATAATTCAACATCGATATTTCACAAACATAGATGTTTTGAGAGTACTTATATAAATAAACATGAAAAATGTCTATTTTTACAGAACATTTAATAATAAAATGGAAGAAATAATTTATTGTTGTTAATAATAACAATCATGTTTCCTACAGCCCGAACAAAATCTGTCATATTTCATCGTCATGCATTTGTAGAGGATGAAGATTCTAAAATAAACTACTCAAAACGAAATAAGGACCACTTTTAAGAGCACCTTGGTTTTTATTGAATTTTGAATAACCCTGGTAAAGTGACTATATCTCCATTTACAATATAGATAGACAATTAAAGTATACACAAAAAAATTGTATTGTGAATGGATATAAACACTTTACCAGAATTATTCAAAATTCAATAAAAATTAAGGTGTTTTTAAAAGTGGTCCTTATTTCGTTTTGACTAGTTTAGAATAGGAACTTGCTTGTAACAATTCATTTTTACAGATCTCTAATGCTAGAAAAATGTAGCCTTTAATATCCTTTCGTTATATACATGCTTGAAGAAAAAGACGCCAATACACACAGTGCGACTTTTTAACTAATGTAATTTGTAATTCGCTATGAATGAAGGCTGGGTTTTATAGCGATTTCCATTTGCACAACTAGTGCAAGTAAAATGTATCTTTAACTTTTTCTTATTGTCGATTTTCACTACCAACATCGGGTATTAAACATCGATGTTTTTTAATAATCGATGAACATCACACATCCCTAGTTTTTAGTATTTTTTACATTGAACCTTTAGGGAAAAGTCCTCAAAATTTCAAATTTCCATTCACTTTAGTTTTTGAGTAAAAAAATTGTTTGTAAAGTCTTACTCTACAAAACATCATTATTTTTAAAAAAATCATAACTCCATCAATAATAACTCAATTGTTTTGAGTTTTTAGTATTTTTTACATTGAACCTTTAGGAAAAAGTCCTCAAAATTTCAAATTTCCATTCACTTTAGTTTTCGAGTGAAAAAATTGTTTGCAAAGTTTTACTTCAAAAAACATCATTATTTTAAAAAAATCATAACTCCATCAATAATAACTCAATTGTTTGTGTACATAATTGGATATTTAGGCATTGATTTTGTAGGATCTTGAGGATTTTGAAAAAACCTCACGTGATTCTAAAAGATTTTAGATTTATGAGATTTTAGGTGATTTTGGATCATTTTAGGGAATTTAGAAACGGGTTTTATGGCGTTTTCACCAACTAATTCAGGAGAGCCCTAACGATAAATATTCCATGGCAATTCTGCGAAAATTTTTGTTAATTCCAAAGAAATTCCTCAGAATTTCCCTAGAAGATTTTATGGAAATCCTTGATATTCCATTCAAATGACAAATTTGAATAGAAAAACCGAAAGTCCTAAAAATTTTATCACAAGATTTTGTAATACTTTTCCGAATTCCACCATAAAATTCAATGGAATTCTTGTACAAAAATTCCTCGGAATTACAGTAAAAGATTTCATGGAAATTTTGACAGAAATTACTCAGAATTTCACTGAAATTTAATTCAAGTTTTCGGCATTTTTCGTGGTTCCATGGAAATTTCACGGAAAATTCTGTTTAATTCCGAGGGAATTTTTCAGTTTCGATATAATTTCACTGGAATTCCACAATAAGATTTCAAGGAATTCCATGTAGGTGTAATTCTACGACTATTCCTTGAACTTTGTCCAACATCGAACACAATCCTCCAAATTCTCCATAAATTTTTCCAAATTTCCTATAAATTCACTAAGTTTTTAACAAAGAATTTCAAGGTGGTTTGCCTCTTGGAAAATACAGTCTCACACTTTCAAAGTTTTCTTGGAGAACTAATTGAAAGAAAAGTTGAAACTTTTTGCATATAAAGAAGAAGATTTGAAGCTTATTTTCTCAAAATTTCAAATTTTTCCATTGGAAAATAACAACATAAAGAATCTTGGAAATCAACCTACAATAACTGAATTAATTGAAAATACAGTCTCACACATTTCGAAGTTTTCCTGGAAAACTAGAGAAGGGAAAATTTTGAAACTTTTTGCATGTGAGGAGAAAGGTTAAACGCTGATTTTCCCAAAATTTCAAATTTTTCTAGAAAAAAATAACAACATGGAAATTAACCTACAATAACTGAATTATTTGAAAATACAGTCTCACACATTTCAACATTTTCTTGGAAAACTAGTGAACGAGAAAATTTGAAACTTTTTGTATGTGAAGAGGAAAGTTAAAGACTCATTTTCCCATAATTTCAAATTTTTCCATTGGGAAATAGCAACATAAGGAATCTTGGAAATCAACTTACAAAAGCTGAAATAATTGTCAATACAGTCTCACGCAAAGTTTTCCTGGAAAACTTTTTACATGTGAGAAAAAAGGTTGAAGGCTCATTTTCCCAAAATTCCGAAGGATTATTCACTGTGACAAGATTTCAGATTTAGAGCGATTTTGGGGGATTTCGGGTGATTTGAAAATACTAAAACACGAATTAAAGTCGAAACTGTGAATAGGTCTATAAGGAGCATCACTGGCGTGCCCCAGTAAAGCGCCAAAACTGACTGATTGCCACTACTACCCCTATTATACATCGTTCTAAATTCTGGCCACAACATCGCCTGGTGCCCTTGTCAGTACTTTAGGATTTAGACATATGATTATAGTAGGCTAAGGTAGTTTTAAGATATTTGTAATGTTGGAAATAAAGAGTCTAGTCTAGGGTGATTTGGAAGGATTTCGGGTAAATTCGAAGGATTTCGGGTGATTTCGAAGAATTTCAGGTGATTTCGCAAAGATTTTAATTTTATGTCAGACTGTTACTTATCTTATAAGTGTATTAGTATAAACTGAAAAACGGCCGCGTTGGCCGATTTATGAATTTTGAGCCATTTACGAGGGATTTTTGGGTTTACGGAAAGATTTCTAAAAGATTCCGGAGGGATTTCGGAGTGATTTCGTGGATTTCGGACAAATTTGTGACACGATTTCGGGGGATGATTAACCCCTTGAAGATTTCATCAAAATTCTTTGGAATTTCACTAAAATTTTAAGTTATTCCATGGGAATTCCGCGAAAATTTTAAGTAATTCCATGAAAATACCTTAACATTTCAAAGATTTTATGGAATTCGTGGACGAAATTTTTTCGGAATTACAGTATAGGATTTCATGAAATTCCTTGGAATTCCACTAAGATTTCAATTTCAAAATTTCATATTTTTTTTTTTTTAACTTCACTAAAATTCCCCAAAATTTTACCACTGAAATCCTGGAATTCCACAAAATTTTCATAAAATTCTTCGGAATTTCATTGACATTTCATGATTTTTCTTAAAAATTCCTCGGAATTTACTAAAATTTTATGAGAATATCTACGTTCATAGCCGAAAATTTCTCGAAAGTCCAATGAAACTTCAAGGAATTTTTCAAAATTTAATTTCTTTTCATAAGAATTTTTCGGAATTTCACTGAAATTCTCTTTTAATTGCCAGGAATTTCTGGGAATATTAATGAAGCTTCAAAGTAATTTTTTAAAAATTCACCGAAATATATTCAAATTTCATGTCGTTACATGGGAATTTTTCGGAATATCACCGAAATTCCATGTTTTTAGTTGGAAATTCTTCGGCATTACTAAAATTCAGTAAGAACTGAAATTTCATGTTGTTGGGAATTTCGGTGTAATTTCATATAATTGTTTAAAATTCCTCCATGTAATTCATTTACGATTTCGTGTAATTTGATCGGAATTTCACTGAAATTTCAAATAATTCGAGATGAATAGAAATTTGATGTGAATTCTATGGAAACTCCGCAAAAATTTCACATCTAATTTCTAAGAATAACATTTTACCGAAGTTCCTGGAAATTCCACTAAATTATGGAATTTTAAAGGAAATATTTTTCAGCAATGTTAATGATTTTATTTTGAATATTTCCGATTTTTGATTGACTCCAAATTATCCGCTGACCAATAGAATTATAGACTGGAAGGCCCCGTGATTAAAATAACTCTAGCCCTTCGGGCTCGTATTACTGAGTATCCCACATTCACAGATTTTTGTCGTGGAGGCGCGGAATTGATTGAAATAATATTGTCAGACTTTTCTAAAAAGTGTAATTTGTGAATTGTTATTTTAATTAGAAATCAGGAATAAAAAACTGAGATTAATTTTCCAATTTTTTGGGGGAGGCTTAGCTTCCCCTGCCTCCTCTGACGAACCGCCACTGGGATTAGGACTTTTTTTTAAATAATGATGTTTTTGTAAAGTAGGACATTACAAACAATTTTTTCACTCAATAACTAAAATGAGTAGAAAGTTGAAATTTTGATAACTTTTTCCTAAAGGTTCAAGGTAAAAAATAATGGAAGCTCAGAGCAATTGAGTTATTATCAATGGGATTATGATTTTTTTTTAAATAATGATTTTTTGTAAAGTAAGACATATTATTATTTAAAAAATTAAAACTTCATTAATAATAACTTAATTGCTCTGAGCTTTCAGTATTTTTTACATTGAACCTTTAGGAAAAAGTCCTCAAAATTTCAACTATCCACTAACTTTAGTTTTTGAATGAAAAAATTATTTATAAAGTTTTACTCCAAAAAACATTATTATTTAAAAAAAATCATAACTCCATCAATGATAACTCAATTGCTTTGAGTTTTTAGTATTCTTTACATATTAGATAATCATGTATGTATGGACCGCCACTGAAAAATTACCCTACAAGAAGTACAAGAAACTTGGCAATGCAGCGCCACCTATGAACAATATGGCGAATTACTTTATCAATATTAATAATAATTATTGATTCAATTGAATTATTATTACTTTAATTAATGTAAATAAGCATTCAATTGATTAAAATATAGTAAATTGATAAAATTTTAGCTCCATTTTAAATGATTTAAATTGAAAAATTACTAACAAGAAACTTGGCAATGCAGCGTCATCTATGAACAACATGGCGATTTACTATATCAATATTATTATTAATTATTGATTTAATTGAATAATTATTGCTTTAAGTAATGTAAATAGGTATTCAATAACTTGAAATATAGTAAATTATTAAAAATTTAGCTTCATTTTCAACGATTTATTTGAAAAATTACCAACAAGAATTTTGGCAATGCAGCGCCATCTATAAACAATATGGCGATTTACTACATCAATATAATTAATAATTATTGATTTAATTGAATTATTATTGATTTAATTATTGTACATAAGCATTTAATTAATTGAAATATAGTAAATTAATGAAATTTTAACTTCATTTTAAATGATTTAATTGCAAAATTACTAACAAGAAGCTTGGCAATGCAGCGCCATCTATGAACAATATGGCGATTTACTACATCAATATTATTAATAATTATTGAGTAAATTGTATTATCATTGCTTTAATTAATGCAAATAGGCATTTAATTAATTGATATATAGTAAATTAATAAAAATTTAGCTTCATTTTTAATGATTTAATTGAAAAATTACCAACAAGAATTTTGGCAGTGCAGCGCCATCTATGAACAATATGGCAACTTATTACATCAAAATAACTAATAATTGATTTATTTGAGCTATTATTGTTTCGATTAATATAAATAGGCTTTTAATTAATTAAAATATTAATAATTAATGTAAATTTAGTTTAAATTCCAGTGATTTTAATTGGAAAATTGATGTTGCTAGTTGTCAAAACAACAAGCAGAAATTTGGCAACGTTGCACCCAAAAAGTCAAAATGACGGCACGACGACGGATGAAAATGGATATTATGCGAATGCGTTGTTTTCGGTATTTTTCTCTAGTACCGTGGCTTGGCATTAAAAATTGCCGCGGCAGGCGTGTCCCCGTTAAATTAATTGTCAGGTTGCGCGTGCAGGATTTGGCCCCCGACTCGAATATTCGGTAACAATTTCACTTGGCAACCGGACCCCTTTCTTAACCCCCTTTTTTTTGTTCCTATGGTTTGTTTGTTTGTAAATAAAATCTCTGAGCCAGTAATTTGTTATTCTGATCCACCACAATACAATGACTAGTTCATCTAACTCAGAATCTGAGGATTCTTGTTCCTCAGAATACTCGACAGATTCGTCAGAAGATGATGGAATGGAAACTCTATATGCTTGTGGTACAAAATTGCAATTGCCTCAAGGCTTGTGTGAAAGGCAAGACATTTTCAATGAGTTTTTCACTGTAGACTTATGGAACTCATTTAGTGATGAAGACAAGGAACATTTGCAAAGTTTTCTACCAAACTTTCCAGGTGACGAATACGAAGAAAAAACCAAAACCCTACAAAGACTTTTTGATTTCGAAAACTTCCGCTTCTCAAACCCCCTAGTTAAATTCTTTGAACATCTCAAAGCAGGCTATTTAAGACCAGAAATTGCTCAACTCCGCAAACAACTAAACAAAAAAGAAATCAAAGAAGCCAAATACAGGCACAAAATCTACAGAAATCAACTCAAAGAAGATATATTAGAATCTCAAAGCAAACTATTGAATAAAACACACAAACACCCTAAACCACCTACAGACAATATGTATCTATACGACAGAACGAAAAAGTGCTACTTTCAAACCTTAGGCGCAATCAAAGCAAAAGTAGACGAGCAAAACTTATCCCCTGACGAAAACCACCCTGAAGGTCCTTGCCAACGGCTCAGCCGCAAACAAAAAAGGCACCTAAATAGCATTAGAAATGGTCTGAGCAAGAAAAAACTATTCAGCTCCACTATGGATACAAAACTCAATGGCAACTTGATAGATTTGGAAAAGTACATCACTTCATATCAGAACCCATTTTATATCAATGATGAAAGCTATAGGAATTTGTTGAGTTCGCATAGGAAAAGGAAGTTGGAAAATGCAAGTGATCCAGAACTTGATGTGGATGGTGAGTGTTTTAGAAAAGTTTTTCCAATAAAGAATATTATTGGTAGTTTTATTATAATTCTAAGAGGTAAATAATGTTGTATTGTTCCCCTTTTGGTGCTCAGGATGTGAATCTGGCAGATTTTGAAATCACAAAGCAGTCATTGGTTGAAAATAATTAGTTGTTGGCGATTTGCACTAATCAAAAAACAGTCTGAGTGGTTTGTGATTTCTGTGACTGAGCTTCAGATTCACTTCCAGTCTGTTTAATTTGATGAGAAGAAAACCCCTTTTTGCACTTTTAAGTTCCCACTAAATATTCCATAAAATTGAGCTTAAAGTTTTGGACAAAGTTTTGTCCAAAGCTTGGTAAATGGTAAGTAGGTAAACTAATGTGAAGTTAGCACCCAAAACTATGAAGTTAGCACACTGTTCCAGCACCCAAAACTTGGAAATTAGCACCCATTTTCCTGCACGCGAAGTATTATTTTTTAAATTTCACTAATTAAGGTATAAAGTATATTATTACAAGTGGGATATTTGAACAGGAGTAGCAGTTTCTCAAAAAATTAGGTAGGTATTATTATTATTCAAGGCAAGGGGTAAACCACCATCCCAGAATTGATGCAAACAATTCCTCAAAATTACTGCAAATTCCTCCAAATTCCTTCAGATACCTCATCACAAATTCCTCCAAATAGCCCACCACGAACTTCTACAAATACCCCACAAATTCCTCTAAAAAAAGGGAAAATTTTGAAACTTTTTGCATGTAAAGAGGAAAATGAGAAGATCATTTTACCAAAATTTCAAATTTTTCCAGTGGAAAACAGCAACATGAAAAATCTTTGAAATCAACCTACACAAACTGAATTAGTTGAAAATACAGTATTACACATTTCAAAGTTTTCCTGGAAAACTACTGAAGGGAAAATTTTGAAACTTTTTGCATCTAAAGAGGAAAGTGAAAAGCTCATTTTCCCAAAATTTCAAATTTTTCCAGTAGATAATTACAACATGAGGAATATTGAAAATCAACCTACAATAACTGAATTAATTGAAAATACTGTATCTCATATTTCAAAGTTTTCCTGGAAAAACTAGTAAAGGGATAATTTTGAAACTTTTTGCATGTAAAGACGAAGGTGAAAAGCTCATTTTCCCAAAATTTCAAATTTTTCCAGTGGAAAATTACACTTTAAGCAATATTGGAAATCAACCTACAATAACTGAATTAATTGAAAATACAGTATCACGTATTTCAAAGTTTTCCTAGAAAACTAATGAAGGGAAAATTTTGAAATTTTTTGCATATAAATAGGAAAGTGAAAAGCTCATTTTCCCAAAATTTCAAATTTTTCCAGTAGATAATTACAACATGAGGAATATTGAAAATCAACCTACAATAACTGAATTAATTGAAAATACTGTATCTCATATTTCAAAGTTTTCCTGGAAAACTAGTAAAGGGATAATTTTGAAACTTTTTGCATGTAAAGACGAAGGTGAAAAGCTCATTTTCCCAAAATTTCAAATTTTTCCAGTGGAAAATTACACTTTAAGCAATATTGGAAATCAACCTACAATAACTGAATTAATTGAAAATACAGTATCACGTATTTCAAAGTTTTCCTAGAAAACTAATGAAGGGAAAATTTTGAAATTTTTTGCATATAAATAGGAAAGTGAAAAGCTCATTTTCCCAAAATTTCAAATTTTTCCAGTAGATAATTACAACATGAGGAATATTGAAAATCAACCTACAATAACTGAATTAATTGAAAATACTGTATCTCATATTTCAAAGTTTTCCTGGAAAACTAGTAAAGGGATAATTTTGAAACTTTTTGCATGTAAAGACGAAGGTGAAAAGCTCATATTCCCAAAATTTCAAATTTTTCCAGTGGAAAATTACACTTTAAGCAATATTGGAAATCAACCTACAATAACTGAATTAATTGAAAATACAGTATCACGTATTTCAAAGTTTTCCTAGAAAACTAATGAAGGGAAAATTTTGAAATTTTTTGCATATAAATAGGAAAGTGAAAAGCTCATTTTCCCAAAATTTCAAATTTTTCCAGTAGATAATTACAACATGAGGAATATTGAAAATCAACCTACAATAACTGAATTAATTGAAAATACTGTATCTCATATTTCAAAGTTTTCCTGGAAAACTAGTAAAGGGATAATTTTGAAACTTTTTGCATGTAAAGACGAAGGTGAAAAGCTCATTTTCCCAAAATTTCAAATTTTTCCAGTGGAAAATTACACTTTAAGCAATATTGGAAATCAACCTACAATAACTGAATTAATTGAAAATACAGTATCACGTATTTCAAAGTTTTCCTAGAAAACTAATGAAGGGAAAATTTTGAAATTTTTTGCATATAAATAGGAAAGTGAAAAGCTCATTTTCCCAAAATTTCAAATTTTTCCAGTAGATAATTACAACATGAGGAATATTGAAAATCAACCTACAATAACTGAATTAATTGAAAATACTGTATCTCATATTTCAAAGTTTTCCTGGAAAACTAGTAAAGGGATAATTTTGAAACTTTTTGCATGTAAAGACG